TTGAGAAAGATTAAAAAATCATTAAATCAAATAAATTGCAGAAGATTTTTTTTTTTTTTTTTTGGGTACAAGGTTAAAAGATTAAAATCAAATAAATTGCAGAAGTTTAAAATATGAAAATTAACAAAAAATAAAATAAAAGATGTACAAGAGATTCAAACCGGTGTTTGAATAGCGCCAGCATTACAAAATAATTATAAAGAAGGAAGGTGCGGTGGTAATATTTGAAAGAAGAAAATGGAGGGATGAGAACGGAATATTGAAATGAAATTAAACCAAACCAAAATAAAATATGGACGATATAAAAAGCACGGAAGCAGCAGCCTCCAATCCACAATCCAAACCCATAATCTTCACCATGAAAGGTGGCGCTGCGGCTGCCGCTGACACTCCTAGTTTCAACCACAACAACAACAATATTACTACTACTAGTGACCAAACGACGACCTCTACGTCCTCCTGGGGCACGTGGGAGGAGCTCCTGCTAGCATGCGCCGTCAAGCGTCACGGCGTCCACGACTGGGACACCGTCGCCATGGAACTCCAAGCCAAGACCTCTCTCCCTCCCCTCCTCACCACCGCCTCCAACTGCAACCTCAAGTACCTCGACCTCCGCCGTCGTTTCCACTCCCGCCAACAAAACGACGACGTCCCTCCAGACGCCGACGACGTCCACCACGATCCTCATAACAATAATACTACTAATATTCCCTGGCTCGACGACCTCCGGAAACTCCGCGTCGCCCAGCTCCGTCAAGAGCTCCATGGCTACGACGTCTCCATCGTGTATTTCTTTTTATTTTTCATTTTAAATTTCACGTAAATTTTTAGATCTGAGTCCGAGCGAGTTATTTTGATTGAATTGGATTAATTTTGGCAGGTCGTTGCAGTTGAAGGTGAAGAGGTTGGAGGAGGAGAGAGAAGACAGCTTCAAAGACGACAACCCCAAACCAGATCTGGAGGAGGAACAGCAGCAGGACTCCAATCGGCACAGATCAGAAAACGACAAAACAGTTCGAGGCAAACCGGACGGTTCGAAACCGGACCACGAGAACCAGTCGGTGAACGGCTCCAATTCGACCTGCTCCAAAAACCTGGACCATGACAACAAGCCAGGTCCAGGAGATCGCGCCCTCTCTGAACCGGGCCCGCTTTCGGCCGGTTCCGATGAACCGTCCAAAAAGACAGGGAGCGGGCAGTCGGATTCGGACTCGGACAAAGGAAGCTCCGAAACGGTGGCTAAGAAGCGGAGGGTACGGGGCCGGCAAGGGAAAGGTGGGGGCGACTCGGCGGGTGAGCTGAGGGAGAGCAGCGAGGCGCAGAGTTCGGTGAGCTTGACGAAGAAAAAGAACGGGAAACGCCATCGCAGAATGGAGGTCCCAGAGCAGCAGCAGCAGCAGCACAATAACGAAGATGTATCGTTGGTGAAATCAGAGCCGTTGATTGAGGTCCTGCAGTTGATCCGCGCGCACGAGCATGGCTCGTTGTTCGAGCGACGGCTTTCTGCCCAGGTATTTTTGCTTATTTAAAATATCTTTATTTTTGATGTTTTTTATTTTACCGACTTTTATGAATCCACTTAGGAAAGTAAGAAATAAACTTAAAGTCGGACATGATAGGTTGAATGAATTTGTAACACCACGTTAATGTGTCGTGATTTCGTGACGAAAAACACCATGTCTGCCAGAACTACCAAACATGCATGCACAAAAACGAAAACAAGATGGTATAAGCAAAAGAAGAAAAAGAAAGAAGGGGAGATATTATTATTAATCTGTTAAAAAACGACTATCCGTTTTAATCAAAAGCTAATTGAGTTTTGGTTTAAACTTTTGTGCATATAATTTGGTCATAACAAGGGTGTTATGGTTACTGTATAATGGGACTGTGTGTGGGCGAAACAAGTGGTCATGATGTTTCCAAAAATGGTTTATTGTTGTTGGTTTGAGAAAAGTAAGTAGAAAAGTACGCGTGCGGCTGAAATTCCTGCTCCGAGCCCTACGGGGGTCTAGGTTTAGGTTTTTGCATGAAAAACTCTCTGATACTATTGCTTACCTGCATTTTTGTTAACATATTTATTTACATTTATGGATTAAAACCTAGTATACGATAATTATAAAAATAAAAAAAAATAAAAAAATTTACTCTTCGCAAAATAAATGATTTTTTTTCTTTTTATAAAATTCTTAAATGTATATGGTTAAATTCATCCGTAACATTATAGTGTAAGGATGAATACTCTTAACCAATTAAACTATAAATCACTTGCTAATTTGGGTGTTAATGTGTAGTGTGTGTTGTGTTGTGTGTGTGTGTGTGTGTATTTCATAAAAGAGACATGGCTCCCTAAGATTGAGGAGGAGCTCCTCCTCAAGATACGTTGTGGTTAATTTACGGAATTTCGTACTTATGATCAGAATCGTTCATATTATAAATCACACTGTAAAGACCATCTCTATAAAAAATTAATTAAGTATAAGTTCGGTTAGTCAATTAATTGTAGCAAATAGGTAGACGTTTTGTAATTTTTCTATCGGCTCCGTCAATCTGTTTTTATACAATTCGATGACTTAATATTAATTTTTTGCATAGATGATTTTTACAAAGTATAATATAAACGATTTCGATATGAATAAATTAGCCAAGTAATGAATTGAGAAGGAACTCCTCATTCATTGAGGAGCCAAGTTAGTTTCATTTCGTAATTCCTAAAACATAATGCTAGGGACTCCTAAATTATTTTAATTACTAAATGATGTAGGAAGCATTATAACATGTTTGTTTGTAGTTGGCAATTTAAAATTTGTCACATCAGTTGCCATTCAAATCAAAATTTAAATTTAATTTTCTTTGAAAAATTAGATTAAACTAGAATATTTTTCAAATAATACAAAAATATTGATTAATTATACTGCCTGCGCAAATGTGTTTGATAATTTTGCGGGAGTATTACTTTAATTTACTTATAAATATGAAATCAGAACACGCTAAATTAAAAAGTAAGACTCTAATTACTATTTACTAGAACAGTCTATTACCTATAGTATAAAATTCAAAAAAAAAAAAAAAAACAAATGCGGTGATTTTGCCCCCATCGGGGTCATGGACCCACATAGGCAGCACCTTTTTTGAATAAAATTTTCTTTTCTCTTATTTCTATCTCCTTTCATTTTCTCTTCTCACACTTTCATTTTTATCCTTTTCTTTTTATAAAAATTCAAAATAAGATGTTGGCGTAATTTAATTGTTACTCTTCAAATAAGAAGAAAGAAAAGAAAGAGAGATTGGAAGGAAAGAAGATCCTACTCTCACCTCTTTTCATCGAGATCTTTTTTTCTCCTTGAAAATTTGAAATCTTTTGGGTACATCCTTTTATAAAATATCCAGATTCTTTTGTTGCTATATACCTTTTTAAAACTTTTCTTTATTTGGTTTTTACCAAAATATGGCACAAAAAAGCAAAAGAGACAAGTGCCTGGTTAAATTACTGTGTTGCCTTAATTTATGTTTATTTAACCAAAAAAAAAAAGATTTATTTATATTCTTAGTGCAATGTGGGCCCACAATGTGTGATCAATGTACAGGAAAGCGACAAGTACAAGAGCATTGTCCAGCAGCATGTGGACCTGGAAACCATCCAAAGCAAGCTCCGCAAAGACTCATACTCCTCTTGCTCTCTCTCCTTCTACCGAGACCTGCTCCTCCTCTTCAACAACGCCGTCGTTTTCTTCCCCAAATCCTCCCTCCACTCAAAGACCGCCCACCAACTCCGCCGCCTCGTCTTAAACGAAATGAAGAAGAAGAATCTCATCACTCGGCCCAACCACGACCCTGCACCCGAACCATCAGATTCGGTAGTTCCTGCACCCGCCACAAGTCAACAACCCAAACGCCCTGATCAGCTCGAAAGATCAGATTCCTTGCTTTCCAAGCAAAAGTCTACTGCCCCTATCATCGTCTGCCGCAAACGAAGCTCCATTTCGTCAAAGCCTTCCGCTGCTGCTCCTAGCTTTGGTCAAACTCTCAAGGGTGACGACAACAAGAAAGCAGCAGCTTTTGATCTTAAATCGTCCATTAAGAATAGCAAGGCCTCTTCAGATAATCATGCAGCAGCTCAAAAGCATGGCGGTTCAGTAGTATTAAAGAGTGCTGCTGCTGCTAAAGCAAAAGACAACCCTGTGATCACTGGAACCAGAGGCTCAAGAAGAACGAGTACTAGTATTGCTCATCACGAGAACAATACCAATGCTTCCAAGAAGAAACAAAGTGCGAGCCCGGCAAGTTTGAAAGCGGAAACTCCCAAAGCGGATAAGAATGGGAAAATGGAGGCAGCGGGGTCAGACAAAAAGCGAAGTGCAGCTGCTGATTTCTTAAAGAGAATAAAGCGGAATTCACCTGCGGACACATTGAAGAGGGGTGGTACTGGCACGGGCACTAGTTCTAGATCAGGTGGAGAGCAGAAGAGGAGGGGAGGTATTGGTAAGGCTGACAAAGTTAAAGAAAGGGTGTTAAGGCAAAGTGGCAATAAGAAGAAACAAGCCAAGGAAGAAAGCAGCAGTCCATCCAGGCGAAGCGTAGGCAGGCCGCCCAAGAAGGCAGCTGCTGAGGCCGCAAATGCAGTAGCTTCACCAAAGCGGGCACGGGAAAGTGGAGGAAAGCAAGAGGCTTCTAGGCGCCCTAAAAAACGGTCTAGGAGGTAAATTAGTCGTCTAGCTTCAATGCTTCATGCATGGCCAAGGAAATGAAGTTTTAACTTTATTCATCTATATTCTAGTGAGGGATAGGGAAACTAGAAATTAGCAGTAGGCAGATAGTATTCCCTAATCAGTAGTCCCTAGGGTTTTTGTTTTGGTCGATATGTTTCTAGTGTATGCTTGAAGGATTTATTATTTTGTGTCAAAATATCTGTTACAAGCATATGCGATGTAATGTACAAAAAGCACTTACTTAGAATCAACCCCATAATAATCGTGCATGGCATCAAGTAGAACGACTCTGTTCTTGATCAGTGATAGTTTCTTGCTTCTGTTAGAGAATTTAACATATTGTTGATGACGTCTTTCTCACGAAGTCATTGAAGTTTGTGATTCATTCTGCTGTTTGTATGATGGATCCTTTTCTCTCCCTTTGAGAGATAACCTGTGAGAAGAAGTGCGCATAGATCAAAATGAGGATGACTGAATGAAGGATGCTCATAGAATTGAAATGCGAAAAGGAATCGAAACAGGTTTCTATTGTGTTTATGTTCCCTTACCCATGCCCCGTTATTATCCAAGTCATAAATTCTGGCATACAAAATTGCAGAAATGCACGAGCCATCGGAAATGCAGGGTGCATTATCTTCAGAGTTGATAGATGCTGCAACCACAAGTACATTATTTTCTTCTTAAAAATAGAAAATTAGGACAAGCCTTATAAGAGGTTTAAGTGGGAAACTTGGTACAGAAAACTTACAGCCAGGGGACCAAATTTGAACTCTATGCAAGGTCGGTACATAGCAAGCATTTCCGGTGCCATTCGGGTGGCTGCATGCACTATACCAACACGCCTCATTCTTTTTGTTGCATATCTAATCACCATGAATCCAGAATGAAGCCAAAGTTAGTATGCCGGGTTAGAGATCTTTAAGTATACAGAAGCTTGTTCGTATTCTAATAAGTTACAGTGCTTCAAGATTTAAGCCTAAATCTTGGATCAAGAGATTTAACCCTAACCGTACCTTCTCAGGGCCAAGACAATTGCATCTGTCCTCTGAGCATTGGAGCCAGTACTGGGAACTTGATCAAGCTCATCTATAAGCTGGTAACTGTCCTGCACATAACATCATTGAAGTAATGAGTCCATGGAGCTCAAAAGAGGGTATTCCGTCCAATTTTCTGATATGTGAAAGATAAAATCTATTTCTAAGACCCGATACCTCAATTGCCATGCATCCTCCTATTCCAAGATTTGGCTGCAATGGATGAGCAGCATCACCTAGCAGAGCAACACGCCCGGTTCCCCAGGAATATATCATGTCTCTATCGTAGATATCTCTTCGTAAAATCATGGACTCAGGTGTTTCTTGAATTAGAGCAACCACTTCCTGACACCATTTTCCAAATACCTCCAGGAGCCTCTTCTTTTTACCTGCAGCTTATAAGATTCAGATAACTGGTAAATGGTTAGGCACTACCACAAGTGAGAGAGAGAGAGAGAGAGAGAGAGCCTTCAGGAGGATCAGTGCTCATTGGTGGCTGCTTATGGAAGGCCAACCATTGCATATTCCCATGCCCAACTTCTACTGCACCAAAGTACTGGTTCGTTCCCAAGAAGATCCGATACCTTCAAACCAAGAACATGTTGATTGCAAGTGAAAATATTTGATCTACTAACTTTATTTAGGATTTTACGCCTTAACTTGTCGATGTTCAAACATTCAGCATGTAAATATGAAAGCATATGCATACCCAACACTATTAACATATGATGGGACAACTTTAGTGAGTCCACTGTAGCAGGTGTAATTTGAGTATTTTGCTTCCCGTATGCCAAACAATTTCGAGCGCACCTAGTGACGAAGAACCCAAAATGTATGAAGTTGAAAAGAGGATATGTTGGAGACATATGGTTCGAAGAAGAGACAACTTACCTTTGACCAGATTCCATCGGCTCCTACTAAAACATCACCATCATATCGTTGTCCATCTTCAAGGATCACTGTAACCTAATTGTTAATAATACATACGGGAAGAGGTTGAGGAACTTGTACAGAATTCTGAAAAGTTACTAATCATAAGAAGTACTTAATGAATTATGATCTGGAAGTTGATCCGGGGAAAATGTGGAAAAAACCTTTATTTAGGAAGTGAAATATATAAAACATTATGAGACTCCCAGCAAAAGCATTAAGGCAGCAAAGACCAATGCACCAATATGTTAGGATTAGTTGAATCGAATGCCACTCAACCTTGTTAGGGTCTTGAATGAAGTCCACCACTTTCGATTTGTTTCTCAGAATGTCAGATCCAACTGCATTGACTAAGATATCCAGAAGCTCCATCCTGCATATTACTTGAGTGATAGGAAGCCCCCTACTTACAGCACTCGATGACAGATCAAACTTGGTAAACCTGAAGCGAAAAGTAAAAAACCAAAGATCAAATACAAACATGAACTAAGAAATCAATTAAGTCTTTCTCAATTTAAACTCACTAAATGGAGAAATTAGCAACGATATATCCTCTTATACAACATCCAGAAGCTGCCCGTATACAGTATAAGTGATTCATAAAAAGAGTCTGATTCGGTGGTGTTGAGTTTCTATACTTCAACAATATTGGCCTGTTTTTAGCCATTCAAGCTTTTGGGGTCCAGTGATTGTCTAATATGGCATGAGAGCTCGGATTTAAGGAGTCATGGGCATAGTGATGAAGACCTCCAATCCCAATTCTCTACTTGTTTGTCGATTTTCAAGGTATGTAAGTAAAAGGGGTATTGGTTTTTGTAACACCGCGCTGAAGCTTTTGCGGTCGAGTACTTGTGTAAGAGTAACAAACCTAAAACCCTCCAACTCAAAAGTCAGAAATAAATACCACTAGATGCCACTTACTACGGTGAGAATCAAATCTAAAACCCTCCAACTCAAAAGTTCGTCTTTGGTGAGAATTAAATACCACTAGATGCTACTTACTACGGTGAAATTCATCGTTGGTGAGAATTAAACCTAAAGCACTTCAACTCAAAAGTCAGAAATAAATACCACTAGATGCCACTTGTGAGTGAGAGGTCTTAAATTTGATTCTCACCAAAGGCGAATTTCAATGGTTAAAACCTAAAATTTTTTGCTCCAACCCTTCTGGGTTAAATTTTTAATTCGAGATTATTAAATAATGAATTTAGGATTCTTAAAGTAACTTTAAAAAAAAATTATATAGACTATCTAAATTTAATTTTATGAACATTTTAACCTCAAATGTTTAGATATACTGATAAATATTGAAAAATTACTAAACCGACACCATGAAACTCGTGGAACACTATGAAAAAATATGAAATAAATGAATATTTTTAAATATTTTAGATTTAAATTTAGATCATTAGATATTTTTCTTTACTGTTAGATTTGATCATATTAGGTCTTAACCGTTGAATTCAATAAATTTATAAATATAAAACTAAAAAAATACACATATTTAATGGGTCAACCCACTAACTCGGTAGGAATTCTAGGATATATTTGCCAGAAAAATGAGTTTTAGGTTAAAACTCATAGTTGGCCCAATAGTTGAAGCAAGTTGAGGTAGGTTTAAAATCTAAAATTTGAGTTTTATTTTAAGGGTTGACAATAATCTTAGTGTAAAAATATCGTTTTTCAAAAAAAAAAAAGAGGAAAAAAAATTGGAGGCTTGTACCATTCGCCTGAGACTCCGTCAGCATAGCCATTGATTCTGTTGCCAGTTTCACAACCTGCTTCCATGATTTGTTTCACGACGTCCTCGTCAATGGCTTCCAGCACTGCCAATGCACTACTCACAAGTTGAATTGGTCCACGTCCTTTCCCCTCCCCTCTCACTGAACTCGAGTCTTTCTCAAACACCTGCACTTGGAACCCTCGATGTTTCGCTGCCAATGCCAAAACTAGCCCCCCAATGCCCCCACCGGCGATCAGAATTTTAAGCTTCCTTTTGCCACCCATCTCTCCGTCCGAAGTTTGATCTAATCTACTAGTTTTACATCTTATTACACTGTTGCCTCTAATGATCCTAGTCTTACTGTATTTTTTTGCTCTAAAACTAAGACTCTGGTGACATGAACTAGGATACAGAGAAGAGACCCCCATTGTTGACCAAAAACAGAAATACAAGGTTGCTTAGTGTCCAATACTTCGTATATGCATGTATATATACATAGCAGGTAACATAGTCATACCATATTAGACAATCACATCGTACAACATACACGCTATTGAATTCATGTATTTATTGAATTAAATACCCACCAACGGGAGAGATGGAGTTTGAAATTATCAACGCCTTAGACTATAAGGATGGTGAATGTTTTTTTTTTTTTTTAATATTCTGAAAAAAATAAAAATAGATGTCAATAATGTCAAATTTTTGGGCATATATTAATGTTGTAAAATCAATGGTAGGTGTAGTGGAATATAAAATAAACGAGACACAATATATTTACGAGGTTTGGCAACTGTTTACGTCCTCCGGGCAGCAGCAGTACTTTCTTTCATTATTTGAAATAATAGAAGTATAAAATAACTCTCACTATTTTCTTTAGCCTAGCTCACTGGTATTTTCTCCTTCATACCCTTTTTTTTTTTTCCTCCTTCATACCTCTTCTTTCTTTTCTCTCTTCCTTTCCTCCGTATGTTTTTCTCTCATATCTTTCTTCTTTTCTCTCCTTTCCTCCTCCGTATGTTTTTCTCTCTTCTCTTTCTTCTTTTCTCTCTTCTTCCTTACTCTGTATGCTCTCATTTTATAGGCAAAAGATTACTGTAATAACACTATTTGTTTTACAAACTTTCTTCAAGTAAATAGTGAAATTATTGTGCATAAATAGTAACTCATTTGTTTTTCTTCATATAAATAGTAATTCATCTAATTTTTCTTCAGATAAATAGTAACGAACTATTTATGTTGACCATCCATCCATATGTAATATTATAACACTTAAAAAATATATATATCGAAGTATTCTTTTCAAGGTAGACCAAATGTTTGGTAAATTGAAATAACAAGATAATGCCTCGTTTGGTAGTTCGGACTGTATTGACTATTTATTTCAATCGGATAGGATAAATAGCCACTGGATAGTACTGACTAAATTAGTCGGGCGTTCGGTGCAATATCGGACTAATGATCGTATTATTTATACAGTGTTTTGGCCTGAATTGAAAAAAAATAATAATAAAAAATAAATAAAAAGATAGGAAGCAAATCCTATCTTCATGATAGGAAGCAATCGGATTTGGTATGATGTGGGGGTGACGCAATGAATTTTGTGCTTTTTGGGTTTGAGTTTGTGCAGTGGTTCAAGGTGGCAACAGTTCGCAACCATGGGATCTCATTTCAAGATCCAATAGCAGTGGCAGACTCGTGTGCAAGATGATGATGAGAGCAATTATAGAGAAGCAATGGGTCATGGGCAGCGACGATGCGGGTTCTCAGAATGAGTTGATTCAGGTGGTGAAGATGGCTCTGGAGCGGCACAGCTCTCCAGTTCTAGTTCTATCCGCCACCATGTATGTATGAATAGGGACGGCATGGCCTGGGTTTAATATCCACCTCGGATTTTCTGTTTGTATGATGTTGATCGAAGGTGAGGACGGTGAAAAGAGAAGGAATACTTGGATGAGGTTTCTCGATGCGAGCAGAGAGATTGAATTTGTGACCCAACTAAATTATACGGGGGTTTTAGAGAGTATAACTTAGCAGGTGTGAGGGGTATTAAAATGGTGGGACCTATTTAATTTATCCGTGCTTAATTAGTACCTATGAGCACCAAACGCCTTCTGCCATATTACTTATACTATCCGATCCTTTATATGGCATGCCAAACGAGGCCTAAGTGTCCTATTTATTTTGCAGTTTGCATTGGCTTGTTTTCCTTTTTGAGTCCTGAGATATATAACCTGCAGGAAGAAGAGCAACATAAATGATATGTAAGTTTTGTATCTGTTTCCGGCTCCTCAAGTTTTGCAAAAAATTAGCTATCATTATTAATTTGCACCATTTTCACAATGAGTAAAACTGTCTCAGTTGAAGGTCCTTATTTATATATGTATACCATATATGTTTTGGAATGTTTTAAAAGATGAAGGCGAAGTCAAGGCATTTCATGGATAGCCTGGCCTAGGCAATAGTCTCAAAGTATAAGGCGATAGCTCACAGTACCTAAAATTATTATAATACTTCATATATATAATACTTTGTAAAACAATCAAGCAAACAAGTTAAGCAATATTATTATCATTTTTCTAATTCATATCACAAAGTCATAATAAACTAATAGAAATTAGGGTTAATGACAAAAAACTACCTCAAGTATGGGTCAAATGACACTTTCATGCCTCATCTTTTAAAATTGACAATGTCATACCTCATCTTACGAATTTGTGTCAATGTTATACCTTCCGTTAGCTTGGCCGTTTATTTCTCAGTTAAATGCTGACGTGGCTTGATCCGGGACCCATTTTTTATTAAAAAATTAATAAAAAAATTATTAAAAATAAAAAAAATCATTTAATATTATTTAAATATTAAAATAATAAAGACCCTTTTTTTTTTTCTTCTCTCTTCTTCTTCTTCTTCTTCTTCTTCTTCTGCAGGGGGACGAACTGGGCTTTTTTTTTTTTTTTTTTTTTTTTTTTTTTTGTTCTTCTCTCTTCTTCTACTTTTGCAGGGGGACGAACTGGGTTTTTTTTTTTTTTTCTTCTTTTTCTTCTCTCTTCTTCCCTCTTCTTCTTCTTCCCTCTTCTGCAGGGGACGAACTCGATTTTTTTTTCTTTCTTTTTCTTCTCTCTTCTTCTTCTTCTTCTTCTTCTGCAGGGGGCGAACTGGGTTTTTTTTTTTTTTTTCTTCTCTCTTCTTCTTCTTCCCTCTTCTTCTTCTTCTTCTTCCCTCTTCTGCAGGGGGACGAACTGGGTTTTTTTTTTTTTTTTTCTTCTTCTTCTCTTTCTTCTGCTTCCCTCTTATTCTGCGGGTTAGGTTAGGGGGGGGGTGGGGTTGGGTGGGAGGGGACGGGTTTGCTGCTGTTTTTTTTTTTTTTTTTTCCTTCTCTCTTCTTCTTCCTCCCTCTTCTTCCCTCTTCTTCTTCTTCTGCAAGGGACGAACTGGGTTTCCATTGTTTTTTTTTTTTTTTTTTTTTTGTGTTTCCTTCTTCTTCCTCCTCCTTTCTAGGTTGCAGGGGGTTGAGTTTGTGGTGGGGGAGGGGGGGATGAACTGGGTTTGGTTTGGTTTGGGTTTTTTTTTTTTTTTTTTTCTCTTCTTCTTCTTCTTCTTCTTTCTCCTTCTTCTTTTCTGGGTTGCTGGGTTGCAGGAAGATGATGGGGAAGAGAGAGGGGGGAGATGCACGAAAGGAGAGGGAAGATGATGTCTAATGTTTTTTATTTTTTATGTACTTTTTTATTATTACTTTAATATTTAAATAATATTAAATGATTTTTTTTGTTTTTAATAATTTTTTATTAATTTTTTAATAAAAATGGGTCCCGGATCAAGCCACGTCAGCATTTAACTGAGAAATAAACGGCCAAACTAACGGAAGGTATAACATTGACACAAATTCGTAAGATGAGGTATGACATTGTCAATTTTAAAAGATGAGGTATGAAAGTGTCATTTGACCCATACTTGAGGTAGTTTTTTGTAATTAACCCTAGAAATTAAGTTAGAAACATGAATTTTGTAAAAATCCTGGCCAAGATGACGTTGTTTTGGGTTTGGGCTTTTTTTTTTTTTTTTTTTTTTTTTTTTAAATCGAACTCTCAGTTCGCCTATGTGCGGCAATAACCTAGCCGTTTAGGCTAGTCTATAGCCAATTCCTGCTGGACAGAGGCGTTTAATTCATAGCCACACCCCAAAACCGCATAGGCGAGTCTTAAAACTAGTTTTTTAAAAGCACTGATGTGTGTGTGTCTCTGTGTGTGTGTGTGTGTGTGTAGATGCTGCAAGAATTTGAGATAGATTTCTATGTTTACCCATGCCCTACTATCATCCAAGCCATAAACTTTGGCATCAGAAGTTGCAGAAATGCACGAAATACAGGAATTGCAGGGTGCGTTCTCTGCTGAGTTAGTAGATGCTGCAACCAAAATAACAAATTGAAATCAGCTACATTTAAATTACCTCCTATTTCTTTTAAATGAAAATTAAGAAAAGATTTGAGGAGGTTGAAGCAGGAAACTAGTTGGGGAAAACTTACAGCCAAAGGACTGGTTTTAAACTTTATGTAAGGTTGGTAACTTTCAAGCATTCTTGATGCCATTCGAGAGGCTGCGCACACTATACCAACACGCCACACTCTTTTCTTTGCATATTTCATCTTCATCACCATCGTCCTGAAGTAAAAATAAGAGAGATTGAAGATCTTTTGATTAGACAAAATCTTGTAACTTAATTTAGAAGGTTTCAAGAACACTCAAGCCTAAAGCTAGGAGTGTGAGAATGCTTTTTAAGAGATGGGGTTTTCCTGCAGCTGCGATTTACCTTCTTAGTGCCAAGACAATTTCATCCGATAATTGAACATCTGGGTCAGTTTTGGAAGCTTGATCAAGCTCAAGTATTAGTTGGTTACAGTCCTGCACACACAATCACCCGAGTAATGAGCGCATGAAAATATGGTTGCTCACAACTCACATAGACTTTTAGTTTCTTTGATCCTAGCCATTAAGTCAAGTTCGAGAAATGTAAAAGCCGAAACGCATGAGGGGAGGAGGTGATTGCTCAACAACAAAATAACGAACTAGTGACGAGCAAAGCAACCAAGCTAAAGCACTCTTAGCAGAGAAAATGAAGACAAAATTTTGCTTTCAGAAAACATAGGATTAAGTTGGATAACCCAGACCCCTTTCACGGTTCCCCTTATCGGTGCAGTGCAGAAGTAAATGTTCTTAACTACTTAAGCTACAAACTCCTAACAATTTCCTTTAAAGGTCGGAATATTTTTTAAATATTTTAGATTTAAATTTAGATCATTAGATATTTTTCTTTACTGTTAGATTTGATCATATTAGGTCTTAACCGTTGAATTCAATAAATTTATAAATATAAAACTAAAAAAATACACATATATGGTGGGTCAACCCACTAACTCGGTAGGAATTCTAGGCTATATTTGCCAGAAAAATGAGTTTTAGGTTAAAATTCATAGTTGACCCAATAGTTGAAGCAAGTTGAAGTAGGTTTAAAATCTAAAATTTGAGTTTTATTTCAAGGGTTGACAATAATCTTAGTGTAAAAATATCGTTTTTCAAAAAAAAAAAAAAAAAGGAAAAAAAATTGGAGGCTTGTGCCATTCGCCTGAGACTCCGTCAGCATAGCCATTGATTCTGTTGCCAGTTTCACAGCCTGCTTCCATGATTTGTTTCACGACGTCCTCGTCAATGGCTTCCAGCACTGCCAATGCACTACTCACAAGTTGAATTGGTCCACGTCCTTTCCCCTCCCCTCTCACTGAACTCGAGTCTTTCTCAAACACCTGCACTTGGAACCCTCGATGTTTCGCTGCCAATGCCAAAACTAGCCCCCCAATGCCCCCACCGGCGATCAGAATTTTAAGCTTCCTTTTGCCACCCATCTCTCCGTCCGAAGTTTGATCTAAACTACTAGTTTTACATCTTATTACACTGTTGCGTCTCATGATCCTAGTCTTACTGTATTTTTTTGCTCTAAAACTAAGACTCTGGTGACATGAACTAGGATACAGAGAAGAGACCCCCATTGTTGACCAAAAACAGAAATACAAGGTTGCTTAGTGTCCAATACTTCGTATATGCATGTATATATACATAGCAGGTAACATAGTCATACCATATTAGACAATCACATCTTACAACATACACGCTATTGAATTCATGTATTTATTGAATTAAATACCCACCAACGGGAGAGATGGAGTTTGAAATTATCAACGCCTTAGACTATAAGGATGGTGAAATGTTTTATTTTTTTAATATTCTGAAAAAAATAAAAATATGTCAATAATGTCAAATTTTTGGGCATAAATTAATGTTGTAAAATCAATGGTAGGTGTAGTGGAATATAAAATAAACGAGACACAATATATTTACGAGGTTTGGCAAGTGTTTACGTCCTCCGGGCAGCAGTAGTACTTTCTTTCATTATTTGAAATAATAGAAGTATAAAATAACTCTCACTATTTTCTTTAGCCTAGCTCACTGGTATTTTCTCCTTCATACCTTTTTTTTTTTTTTTCTCCTTTATACCTCTTTTTTCTTTTCTCTCTTCCTTTCCTCCGTATGTTTTTCTTTCATATCTTTCTTCTTTTCTCTCCTGTCCTCATTATGTTTTTCTCTCTTCTCTTTCTTCTCTTTTCTCTCTTCTTCCTTACTCTGCATGCTCTCATTTTATAGGCAAAAGATTACTATAATAACACTATTTGTTTTACAAACTTTCTTCAAGTAAATAGTGAAATTATTGTGCATAAATAGTAACTCATTTGTTTTTCTTCATATAAATAGTAATTCATCTAATTTTTCTTCAGATAAATAGTAACGAACTATTTATGTGGACCACCCATCCATATGTAATATTATAACACTTAAAAAATATATATATCGAAGTATTCTTTTCAAGGTGGACCAAATGTTTGGTAAATTGAAATAACAAGATAATGCCTCGTTTGATAGTTCGGACTGTATTGACTATTTATTTCAATCGGATAGGATAAATAGTCACTGGATAGTACTGACTAAATTAGTCGGGCGTTTGGTGCAATATCGGACTAATGATAGTATTATTTATACAGTGTTTGGCCTGAATTTGAAAAAAAAAAATAATAATAATAAAAAGATAGGAAGCAAATCCTATCTTCATGATAGGAAGCAATCGGATCTGGTATGATGTGGGGGTGACGCAATGAATTTTGTGCTTTTTGGGTTTGAGTTTGTGCAGTGGTTCAAGGTGGCAACAATTCGCAACCATGGGATCTCATTTCAAGATACAATAGCAGTGGCAAACTCGCGTGCAAGATGATGATGAGAGCAATTATAGAGAAGCAATGGGTCATGGGCAACGACGATGCGGGTTCTCAGAATGAGTTGATTCAGGTGGCGAAGATGGCTCTGGAGCGGCACAGCTCTCCAATTCTAGGTCTATCCGCCACCATGTATGTCTGAATAGGGACGGCATGGCCTAGGTTTAATATCCACCTCGGATTTTCTGTTTGTATGATGTTGATCGAAGGTGAGGACGGTGAAAAGAGAAGGAATACTTGGATGAGGTTTCGCGATGCGAGCAGAGAGATTGAATTTGTGACCCAACTAAATTATACGGGGGTTTTGGAGAGTATAACTTAGCAGGTGTGAGGGGTATTAAAATGGTGGGACCTGTTTAATTTATCCGTGCTTAATTAGTACATATGAGTACCAAACGTCTTCTTCCGTATTACTTATACTATCTGATCCTTTATATGGCATGCCAAACGAGGCCTAAGTGTCCTATTTATTTTGCAATTTGCATTGGCTTGTTTTCCTTTTTGAGTCCTGAGATATATAACCTGCAGGAAGAAGAGCAACATGAATGATATGTAAGTTTTGTATCTGTTTCCGGCTCCTCAAGTTTTGCCAAAAATTAGCTATCATTATTAATTTGCACCATTTTCACAATGAGTAAAACTGTCTCAGTTGAAGGTCCTTATTTATATATGTATACCATATATGTTTTGGAATGTTTTAAAAGATGAAGGCGAAGTCAAGGCGTTTCATGGATAGCCTGGCCTAGGCAATAGCCTCGAAGCATAAGGCGATAGCTCACAGTACCTAAAATTATTATAATACTTCATATATATAATACTTTGTAAAACAATCAAGCAAACAAGTTAAGCAATATTATTATCATTTTTCTAATTCATATCACAAAGTCATAATAAACTAATAGAAATTAAGTTAGAAACATGAATTTTGTAAAAATCCTGGCCAAGATGACGTTGTTTTGGGTTTGGGTTTTTTTTTTTTTTTTTAAATTGAACTCTCAGGTCGCCTATGCGCGGCAATAACCTAGCCGTTTAGGCTAGTCTATAGCCAATTCCTGCTGGACAGAGGCGTTTAATTCATAGCCACACCCCAAAACCGCATAGGCGAGTCTTAAAACTAGTTTTTTAAAAGCACTGATGTGTGTATGTGTGTGTGTATATATAGATGCTGCAAGAATTTGAGATAGATTTCTATGTTTACCCATGCCCTACTATCATCCAAGCCATAAACTTTGGCATCAGAAGTTGCAGAAATGCACGAAATACAGGAATTGCAGGGTGTGTTCTCTGCTGAGTTAGTAGATGCTGCAACCAAAATAACAAATTGAAATCAGCTACATTTAAATTACCTCCTATTTCTTTTAAATGAAAATTAAGAAAAGCTTTGAGGAGGTTGAAGCAGGAAACTAGTTGGGGAAAACTTACAGCCAAAGGACTGGTTTTAAACTTTATGTAATGTTGGTAACTATCAAGCATTCTTGATGCCATTCGAGAGGCTGCGCACACTATACCAACACGCCACACTCTTTTCTTTGCATATTTCATCTTCATCACCATCGTCCTGAAGTAAAAATAAGAGAGATTGAAGATCTTTTGATTAGACAAAATCTTGTAACTTAATTTAGAAGGTTTCAAGAACACTCAAGCCTAAAGCTAGGAGTGTGAGAATGCTTTTTAAGAGATAGGGTTTTCCTGCAGCTGCGATTTACCTTCTTAGTGCCAAGACAATTTCATCCGATAATTGAACATCTGGGTCAGTTTTGGAAGCTTGATCAAGCTCAAGTATTAGTTGGTTACAGTCCTGCACACACAATCACCCGAGTAATGAGCGCATGAAAATATGGTTGCTCACAACTCACATAGACTTTTAGTTTCTTTGATCCTAGCCATTAAGTCAAGTTCGAGAAATGTAAAAGCCGAACCGCATGAGGGGAGGAGGTGATTGCTCAACAACAAAATAACGAACAAGTGACGAGCAAAGCAACCAAGCTAAAGCACTCTTAGCAGAGAAAATGAAGACAAAATTTTGCTTTCAGAAAACATAGGATTAAGTTGGATAACCCAGACCCCTTTCACGGTTCCCCTTATCGATACAGTGCAGAAGTAAATGTTCTTAACCACTTGAGCTACAAACTCCTAACAATTTCCTTAAAGGTCGGAATATTTTTTATTTTGTATTTGGCAAATTTGGATTGCAACGACCACAATATTCTTGTCTTTAGAACTTCTTTCCCCATAAGATTTGATTTTGTTGCTCTGTTGGATCGTGACGACCACAGTGACTCTTTTGTCTTTAGAAATTTCCCCCGTAAGATTTGATTTTGTTGCTCTGTTGAATCGCGACAGCCACAATAATTCTTCTGTCTTCAGAACAACTTTTTCCGATATTGTAACCAATGAACCTCAGCATGCTCGCACATCCGAAAAATAAAGGTATGAGATAACCAAGGTGAGATTTTTCATCGCGTATCCATCCCTTCTCGTTTGTGCCAAGTAAACATGCCCTAACTTTGCATTGATGCACTTCTGACTGGAGTTTAAGACACTTGTATCTCCGAGGACAGCATGAGAGATTTGAACTTTGAAACCTCTTCCAATATCGAAAAGAGAAATGACACTAGGCCAAGAGAAAGAGAGTACATGTTCGAGAGTATACGTTCACACATCACGTGTATGCAACAGCTAAGGGCAGTAAAAAATAATTTACACAAGGCAGCACGCTAATCACTATCAAACAATGTTACAAAAGGCATCAGAGCTTTCCTAGGTTGACTTTGCCTGCCCACTCTTTATAACCAAATAATTGCCCGACTGCAGTAGCTCTCATTCTACAGTAACGCCTATCCTGGAAAGGACCCAAGCCCCAGTCTTTTACACATGCTGGGTTGGGGTGTGGAGTTATATCATTGTACAAAAAGGCGGCCGTCACTTGCAACCCAGATCTGTTTCACTTCCACAGCCTAGTCTCCTATCTCATCGTTACCCCCCCCCTGCTTCCAGCCTTTTATGCGCTTTTTGACTGCTGCAGATTTTAAACCAGCCATCTATCATTCTCAATTCCATCGGTTGCCCGTGCAAGAACTGTGTCCGTGACCATCAGCTGTTTAAAGGCAAAGGTCCTACACGAGGCATCAAGAGAGGAAATAAAACTAAAATAATTGAGCACCAAACAGATGATACACACCAAAGTATTTGTTCTCATCCATAGCATTTGAGATATGTATATTCTATTTCCAGAAAATTACATATGAAGTGCCAGATTATTCATAAACATAAATTCTTCAAGAAAAATGAAATGCCAAATTAAGTTCTCACTTCTGTGTTTGATGCAACTTTCTATAAAATGACGAGGAATTTATGGGGAGAGAGGAGAGAGAGGGGGGGGGGGGGGCGGGGCGCTCATATGAAATTGTGCAAGTAGACTTGGTGGACACTAACCATTTACAAGCTTACATACAACAAGGTAAGCTTTGAATAACAAAACAAGATAAAGCAATGATTACCGCATTCACCGTCAGAAATGTCAGCAAGCTTTGCAATTGCATCAATAAGTGCTTGTTCATGATCCTGCTCAAAATCAATAGATCAGTTTTGCAAATAAGAACAAAAAACTTGTAATGAAACTTAAAAATGCAACAAAAGGAATAAAAAAAAGTCTAAGGTTGCCCTTCTTACTTTCAACAGTTTCTTTGCTTTCTCAATTTCAACAGAGTCTGGATGGTTTTCACCAAAGACCCTTTCTACCTGTTCAAATTTAACAAAGTTTAGTATGCATCAATCGAATAAAAGTAAATTTATTCACTATATATGGATTAACTAGCTTTTACTGACCTCCTTAATTAAAGTATCTGTGTGAAGTAACTGGATATTGTCTGGAGCCTTCTTCCCAATGCCATTTTGTGAAGGCGGAAAATCTTTTCTTGTTTGAGCCTTTGGGATCCCTCTACCTCTTCCAGGAACTGGAACATTGTCACGGCCTACAAATCTATTCACTCCATGACCAGATCCACTATAACCCCCACGATGAGAGATTCCAGGATCTTCACCTACCCACTGAATATCCTCCGGAGATATCTGCACAAGAAGTAATAAGCCAACATAAGAAATTATGTAAAACATTCTGAAATTAATATATCATTATTGAGTGAGAAAAATCCACTTGGTCATCATTCATAAACAGGACATGAAAACCAAATGAATTTCCGTTTCCTTCCTGTAATCCTGTTCATTCTCCCCATTAAGTGTGAACCAAACATAGTGTTAGTATTGTAACCGAAAACTATACAATTAGTATTCAGTTGATTAAGTTGTCAGGCTTTTTCTTTTTCTTTTTTTTTCTTCTTTTTTCATAGTCATTATGAGCGTTAAAATATTCAAAACATACCTGATAAGGATTCCAATTCAAAACATACCTGATAAGGATTCCAATATGTGTGTGATGGATAAGGTGCTTAGTTATGACCGTTTCTAATTTCATAATCTCTTTTAATGCTGGGATGTTAATACTATCACTATGTGGAGCTTGTTTGGTTAAGTGATCATTCAGGGACTAAGGGCCAGAATCACTTCCAACCTAATTGTGATTTCTTAACTATTAAGCTGTTTCTATAATATTGCAAGGGTTTACTTATTGAGTTTGGACCACCTAATTATATAAAGGCCCTTGAAACCCTAACCTCCTAATTGTTTGTCCTCTCTGTTTGTCCTATCGGTTCACATCACTGTCCCTTGTCAGATACCTTTTATACATCACATTTTGTACGCCAAAAAGATAACAAGCTTTTTGAATCAAGTAATGGTGGCAACGGAATGAACAGAAGCTACGTAGTAGGTGCAAAAGGCAAATATTACTGGGAGGATGTTACGATTAATCAGCTAACAGCACCCAATTGGACAAATTGGACAATTCAGAAAACATTGGTTAACAAAGAGTAGAAAGCAAGAAGCAACAAATATTCATTAAAGAAAATTTTTAGGAAGTCTTGTCAGAATGTTTGAAGTACATACTACATACACAGAGAACATTAAGCACTAAGTACAGTATTATAACATTATTACATTTTTAAAATTTTTCAGGAAGAAACAAACTTCAAGTGGTCACTTATATTCAAGAGTTGACAATTCAGCTTCTACCATAGCATCTTACTTCTTACCACTAAAATAAGCTTCTGGTATTCATAGCTTTACAATGCATAATTTTCAGAACACAATGTAAATGAAAACGACATGCTGCCAATATAACTTCAATGCATCAAGCATACCTCTGATAGATTAACCCATTCCCATGTTTCATTTGCCGAATTCATATCATAGACTAGATGGTGCCGTCCCTAAAATTCAGAAATGAAAAAAAGAACAAATGTCAGGTACATGACTTTACATTACTACAAACTCCTTTAACACATCTACAGGTAAAAGATACCTCTGCTTGATTGTAGTCTTTTATAACAGCTTCATAAAAAGTGTTGTCATCGGGCCACCTAGTCCTTACTTTCCTCCCAATCAAGGTATCATTTGTCTTTCCTTCAGCAGGTTCACTTACAACGGCACCAGTCGAAACTCTATTTGAAACTTGACCCCTTCCTGTTGGACCTGAGGAAGGGAACTGCTTCATTGAAGAAGCACCAGGCAAAATTTGACCCTGTTAACAGAATGTGACCGAAGGAAAACTAATAAATAAGTGAATAAATAACCTGCAGACTTGTTTTTTGTTTTACTCAATATTCAACTCACAGGTTTATGCTTCTTGCCCTTGGCTCCTGAGGCTGGGGCTGGGACAGATCCTCGTTTTACAGTGGACGAAGATGGCTGGTGGGATGTGGTAACTGCTGGTGGATGAAATGATGGTGTTGGCCCAGTAAAGGACTGTGTATGTACTGACTGCGCCATCTTCTGTTTCTTGCGTGATACAGAGACAGTAGGACTAGGTATTGGATCATGCACTGCTTGAACAGTACTCAGCATGCCCGGTTGAACCCCGCCAGCCTGTCTCCAGTCCCTGTTGGCATCGCCCAACACAGTACCCATTAAAAGACACAAAAAAATTAAAAATTAAAAAAAATATTCTAATGAATAGGTCTCATTTCTCAACTAAACGAAAAGCCTGTATCTTGATTCTTCAATCTATCAGACCTTATCCTCTCTATGATATCATCTGCTGCATTAACCCGTCCTACAAGTTCTTTGTGCTCCTCATTCGATAACCTCAACTCCTTTCTAAGGTTTGTCAATAGAGCTTCCTTTTCCTGAAGAAAATACATTTCATGTAGCAGTCACTAAACCTGATCAAACAAATTAAAGATATTAGATCCATGAAAAAATAGATCACAAAAATACCCAAGTAATGGCATCAGCTTGAGCTTTAAAGGCTCTCAGAACTGAACTGTATGCTTCTCGTTCAAGCTGGTGAATTTGTGCTTCCATGTCAGTTTCACCATACATCCTAGGATATGGGACAGAACCCCCACCAGATCTTCCATTCCCTGTAACGCGGCCCCCTCTGGGAACTCTATGCTGCTGGTGTGATGGAGGAAGATCGTCATCAGTTCCTGCAATTGTTTTTTGAGGTTCAGAATGGATGCAACAATAATCAATAATGAAAACGAAATGAGACGCTGTATGGCCAGAATTCACAGAAATATGGAACACTAGATTAGAAAGAGAATATCTTGCGGGTTGTCTGTGCATGACAAGCAAAGAGGGATGCAATCATCTGATTTTAGATTCAGTGCATGGACACAGTTGTACAAGCTTCTAATTGATAGGTCCTTGAGTGAAAATGTATAGGAAAAAGTGAAATTGCAATAAAAATTCTCAAATCTCTAACTTCTAGTATAGGTGCAAACCCAAGAACTAAATAAGATGGCAATTTCAACTGGAAAAAGCTGAAGTTGCCAATTTCATAAAAAAAACAAAAAAAAATAAGTGTCTGCAACTAAACCGGAGGTTCCCTTCTACACTTCAAGTTCAAACGGCTGATTAGCTGCACCAAGAGTTTTATTTGTAAAATGAACAACACATTCAATAAACTCATCCTTAGAGTACAACTTCCAGACTAATTAGATCCTTGAGATACATTAAACTACATTACAGTAAACTACATTTCTCCTATCAAGTAGAACTTAAAATAAACAAACATCCGGTCCCCAAGAAGGTCATCTCCCCTGCTGTTCCTGAATGGCCTATGGCTTCTAATTTTAATTCTGAGAAAGCTTGAAAGTTTCAGGTTTAACTTGCTTGGGAGCCTCCTGTGACTGGTAAGTTTAAACTTAATGTTGATGGTTCTCAGAGGACCATGTCTAGTCAGATTGGGGCGGGAGTTGTTATAAGAGACTCTCATGGTGACTGGATGGGTGGGTTTGCTGTTAATTTGGGCAGGTGGAAAATTTTAGAAGTAGAGATATGGGGTTTATTTTTTGGCCTCAAACTTCTTGCTAATAGAGGTATATGCGATCTTATAATTGAGATGGACTCCGCCATTGCTGTTCAGCTTATCCAGATGTATGAGCTTGCAAGTTTTCACCCTCTTTCTGCATTGGTTACTAATTACTGAGATGGATCAATAATTGTGAAGTCGCCATGTCTACCAGGAGAAGGACTGTGGCAGACCGTCTAGCTAATGGAGTTCTAATTTGGGTTTAGGCGTTTATTATTTTGCCTTGCTGGATTGGATCTAGTTTATTTGATGATGGTTTAGGGGCTTGCAGTACCCATTGATTTGTATGGATAACTTATTGTAGTTGGTTTTGGGGTTCATTCCCCCACCACCACCCACACCCACCCCCCCCCCCCCCCCCAAAACAAAAAAAAAAAAAAGTTTACCAAGACAAATAAAGAAACACCAGAACCTCTCAAGTCATATTTATATTGAACCAGTTAAACTGCTAGTATATGCGAATACATAATGTACTGTATGATACAGGAAGCATGTTGTTAATAAATGGGAGAAGAAATGTGAGTAAATTGTAAACAGATACTGATGAAAGAGAAAAGAAAGTGTAATACATCACAAAGAAGGTTTTTTCACAAGTTATTGTAACTTAGGTATGGCATGGAATATGCTTACCATGACAGACTTTGTTTAACAACTGAAACTAAATATGTATCGGACTTCAAGCATATACACTAGTGAACGACACTTGAAAGAAGTTCAAAAGGTGCACAGAATAATAACCCAGATACACAGTATAGGTGCTCTCCTTGAGGAATCAACGGCTCTTTTCTGCCAGCATGTACATGCTTAAAAGGATGATTTGTCTTTCTTATTAAAAAATTTCTTATGCATTCAAAAGAACTTGGAAAAACCAATGTCTCAAAATCCAAAAAGATTCCTTCTTTTTTTCCCTCAAACTCTGGAATATGGTCAGCAGCGGTATTTGCAAAGAAACAACAGACAGTCTAGAGCTTTATTGATGTTAACTCTCAAGTGATCAATCATTTGTATTTAATTACTACTTCTTGTTGAATAAACCCGCACACTAGACCTTGTTCTTTGATGTAACCAATGGCAATAGACTAAACTAGCAAATATTAGAAAACTTAGAGACACACAAGAAGACTAACTAGCAAATATTAGAAAACTTGAAGACACACAAGAATTATACTGGTTCAGCAGAACTTTTGCCTACGTCCAGTTGATTTCTCTACCGCTCCTTTGATTAATAATAGAGATTACAGAACTTTTGCAAACCCTAGAACTAATCTCTCTCTTGTCTTGGCTGTCACAGTTTTTCTCCTTAGAAGAATAAGCCTTGCCGCACCCTATTTATAGGCAGAGGGTAGGTTACATGTCCCAAGGCTGATTGAATTCCTATTTCTAAGTGGACTAGGAAATTACACTTATCCAAATCCAAATAGACTTCTAGAAATCCAAACCTAAATTGAATAAGGAAAACTGAATTCTTTCCTAATCCCTCCAGGACAAGAACGGTATACCTCTAATTTTCCTAAAACAATCCTACACCAATTAGGACATATTTGACGAGCCAAAATCCTAACACTTCTTCGTTCTTTCACATTCTAGTATGAACTTCTCTGAAAAAATCAAAACCTCGCTCTGTGTCAACTAATGAATGGTCTGAATCGTAAAAAAAATCAATTTCAAATCCTCCTTCAGTAACCCAATGACATATAAATCATCAATCCCAAAAGAACCCACGTTTTAAAACCAAGAAGGGCTCATTAATGTATATGAATGTATATAGTAACGAAGTAAATTACACCAAAGAAACTTCATGCTCTTCAGGCAAAAAAAATCTAAAGTGGCCAAGAAAGTGAATTTAGGTTGCTAAACACCATAATTACGTCGGGGAAACCCTAATTCCTTCACTGCAACAATCCCCAAAACCCCCAATTACAGTTCCAAGTGCCATACACAGATTTTTTTTTTTTTTTATGAGAATTAAGAGAAGAACGTAACCTAAAACCCAAATTAAGCAGAGAAGTCACTTCATATACCCTAGTTACTGGGAAGAATCAATCTTTGAAAGGTAAGCTCACCGCTGCTATCGTAGGGCTCGTAGTCCATGGCAGTTGATAAATCCTCAATCAAAACCAGAACCCAACAATCTCAAGCGCTGAACCTGGCAGCGATTCCAAATATGCTCCCAGAGACCTTGAGGTCCGAACAGCACCAAACGACACCGCAAGATGCCGCAGCAAAAGGTCGTCGTCGTGGAAGATTCAAGAGTGTTCCTCGTATGTTCTGCAGGAAACAGAATTGGAGGAGGAGAAGTGGGGTTTCGGAGAGTAGCGAGAGTGAAATTAGCGGCGGTCGGTTTCGGAGGAGGAATCACTGCCACTGCGAGTTTCTTCTCTTTTTTTCTTTTTAGCATTTTTTTTATTTTTTATTTCCGTAACATTTTTGGTCAACATGATTCTTTCTCCAGTTGTACTTTTTGTTAATTTAGCTAATTATTCGCTCAATTTTTTTTAAAAAAAATTTACACAATACATTTACGCTAAATATGTAGAGAATAAATTGATTTCGAATTTTTTTATTTTTAAAAAATATCATTGTGGTAGCTAATTTTCGTAATTTTGGAACTTAACAAAAATGTATTTACAAAACAATTAACATCTTTGATCAATGGCTTAATTCTCACGAGAAAGAAGGTGAGGCCAATGGATTTTTGATGTCTAAGTTAGTTTATTTAAAAATAGTAAGCGTTATGACTTTTAGGGGTAGCCAAAAGCCCTTGATTGATGTTGCGAGATTTGAAGGGGTTTTTCAATGAATCTAAGAGTATCTCCAAATGATATATCAAATATAGTATGTCAAAATTTTATTTGAAGCTAATGTGGCAAATTGAATACAAATGCTAAATCTTCTTCTTTTCCAATGAATATGTCAAATATTTATTTTATTATTTTATTGGGCCTAGAGTTACATTAACTATTAAAAAATAATTTAAAAAATTAAATTAAATATATTTGACTCCTTTGTTTGCTGAAAAAAAAAAAAAGCTAAAAAGCAAGGAGTCAAATGACTCACATGCCACATCATATATGGCATGTCCATTGGAAAACACTTGAATGTCTTTTAATCGTATTTGGCATATTTAACATTTTCTTTGGATATGGTCTAAAGAGGCTTCTCAATGGAGTGAGATTTGACAATCTTTATTGATGTTGTGAACCATGTTATATCCTTTCTTTGTATCTTCAAAACATAGTGTACAGTATTCAAAAGCTTGTTTGCAAATTCTAGAATCTCTTTCGCCACATTTATCAGGAACACAACTTTATAGCACTGTTCTGAAAATTTTCACCTAGCGTTGCCTAAGTCCCTGCATAAGCACTAGGTGGTTGGCCACCTGTCTTAATTAATTTCTAAGCGTTTGAAGATTAAGAAAGTGTGCTTAGAAATGCTTAGGCGTCTGTCTAGCCCGCCTAAACCCCCACTTTGATCGCTACTCTCACTTAGATAGAAAATAGATAACTTTCATTTGTGCATTTATTTTTTTAATAAATTGTAAGAGACTTGTTTAATACTTTGATGAACACTCATTATATTTTGTTTTCCCATGTTTTTAATATGTTATACTATCTAATCTATATGTCACTTTATTTTTTAATTTATGTATTTCAATACAATTATGTATTTTTTAAGTATGAATAGGCACTTATTTATACGATATATAATAAGTTTATTTAAATCCGCTCAGTTCACCTAGGTCCTCGCTTAGCCACTTAGGTGCTAGGCCCTAATTCACTGCCCAACTAGTACCTAGTGACACACCCTCGATCGAAATCAAGGCGTGCTGGCCGTCACATGAGAGTGACGTAACCATGTGCACAGTGCGGAAGCAAAATTAATAATAAAAGTACAAATAAATAAAAACCAAACTACAAAACAATGTAGTTAACATACCAGTGCAAGTGTAAGTGTGATAAGCAATATTCAGAGCACAGAAAGCCTAAGTGCAGTCCAGAAGAACTAATACTAAATACACAACACCCAAAGATGATCCTACATTTGTGATGTTCTGTCAGAACCACCGTTAAGACCTCGTAAACCACCAAAGCTGCTTCTAACTAGAACCTGGAGGGGCGCAAAATAGAAAGTGTGAGTGGGCAAAAACAAAGCTTTTCAAAATCATTTCATTAACAAAAGTTCTAACTCCTCGCCGTAAAACCTGTATAGTTTTCCAGAAAATAGAATAGACACATATATCGAAAACATATTCAGAAATATGCCACGTCGAATGCCTCCACACAAACTGTAAGTAACCCAGGTAATGTCAATTAATGCAAGTAACATGTCAGCCGGAGTCACCTAACGTGACATGTACGGCTGAATCTAGAGCTCAAATCCCCAACTCACTAACTATATCTGCACACGAGTCGGAACCACCTAAAGTGGTCTGTACGACAGGACTAGGTGTAAATAAATACGCTCAAGTGCTACGATCACGTGAAGACTAAGCGAATAATCGCGGGTCACCTACGAGTCGGAACCACCTATAGTGGTCTGTACTACAAGACTGTGCACCTAACTTGGATCCAAGATGAGCGTGTGGTGCAGAAGGTGAACATCACGTGAAGGATTATGCCCTACTTTGGGCGGGAGCACTAACACCGGGGGTGCAGGTTATGAGCTCTCTATGCATCTCACATAACCACTAATTCACAATCATAAATCATAAACTTACTTGGCACTTACCTGTGCGTCCGCAACACTAAGCATACATATATGCAACTACTAATGCATAAATAAATATGCAAACGCTATGCATGGCATTTAAAACATATAAACATTCCTTTTCATTTTATGGGAAAAACCACAAGTATATAGGTATATACGGAAAACCAGAAGCCCACTCACTGATATGTGAAAGGGTCGTAACCCCCTTGCCTTGAATGACTGCGCTCCTCCTCAGGATGGGTCTCACCTATATGTGAAACAACTATAAAAATGTCAATTTAAGCACATAACCAAAAATAGGTAATAACTTCTCATACAATGCTCAAATGGGGTGTGTGAATACACTAACGTGATCTACTCAACCTCACGAACATCCCCATATTTTAAAATGATTTTTCGAGGCTCCACATGCCGTTGAGGGCACGACCCTACGCGCCCCCACGCGTGGCCACGTGCCAGGCACACTGACGGCGTTAGTTAACGCCGTCAGAAATATTTCGTTAAACCCTAACGGATTTCGTTAAACCCTAACGGATTTCGTTAAATCTGACTGACTGTGTCAAAATATTCTGTCCAAACTGACGGAATATTCCGTCATCTTCTCCGCGTGAGTCGTCGGTCACCGGAAACCTAGAAAAACTTCAAACCCTTCGTTCTCACTCGTTTCTTCACCAATTTCTATGAAATTTGCACCAATGGAAAGTTGGAGATGAGTAGAACAACGTTATACCTGTTTGAAACCTCAAAGATCACAGGATCTTGTTGGAAAAATTCAAGAAAAACCGGCCAACTTCAGAACTAGCTTTCCCAACGTCCAATTCCACTCAACGAACCACCCCGAGCTTCCTAAGGACCTCACTAAGCTTCCTATAAGCTTCAAATTCCTTAAAAGTAAAAAATTCACGTGTGCATGAACAGTGACCCAAATCGGAGATTCCTGGTTCGACGTGAAATCGAAGGATTCTTTACCTGAAATTGGTATGGTTGAACTCGTATGGTCCTCACGAACACAAAGGTATTAATTTCCACTTCGATCTGTGACGTTTGCAAGGGATTTAGGTCTCGTCCGTACAAGTGAGAAGGAGAGAGAAAGAGAGAGAGTGTTCGAGACAAAGAGGGATACGGGGAAAGATGATGAGGATCAGAGTGTGTGGTCCAGATACAACCAACAAAACCACAAAACAATCACCCAAAATGACAAATAACCACCAGGGGTAAAATCGTCATTTCACACCTACGGGACAATTAATTCGGGACGGGCTGTCACACCTAGTGTCTTTTAAAACCTTGCTTTATAGCGAATGTATTGACAGATGTGGGGTACTTATCTTCTAGTTTGCTTATTGGGATTGTTTTAGTAGGTAAGTTGGAGATACAAAGTTCTATCAAAAATAAAATGTTCATACTACTTTTTAATTTAACATTTATTTAATAGAATGACGAAAATGAGGATGAATTAAGACTAAAAGAGACGAAAATAGCAGAATTATAAACTAAAGTGAGACAAAAGTAATTTCAAAGGTGAAGTGAAACTAAATAACAATTTTATGGTGCAAATCAATTAATAAACCTTTTAACTAATTTTGAATATATATTTTTTTCTATTTCAACATATCTAGTTTTAATATTATATGATAATTTTCTTTATCAATAATATTGTATAATGCTTAAACTTTGGGATAAATTCTCTCATCCTTCACTAAAATTAGCTAGCCACATTATCCACAGTTTTAGTGTAACTGTAAACTTTTGGCTGTGCATCCTTCACCTAAAGTTATACTAAAACTGTGGCTTTTAGTATAACTATTACTTAAGGGTTATTTTTTTATGGTTGTGTTTAAAAAGGAAAAATACTCATGTTGTGTTACGAGAAAAATTAATTGTACTAAACAAGTATGACCATAAAAACGTCACAAATTAAATACTCATGTTTAAAAAAGAAAAATACTCATGTTGTGTTTAAGGATGAGTAGATTCAATAAGTAAAACGTCACAAATTAAATCCGGTTGTTCATCAAACCAACAAGAATTCAAATTGAAAAACAAAGTCATACGAGCTAATCTATGTGTTACTAAATTGGAAGACTGTCAGACATGTGATCAGCCTGGATTAGCAAGTCGAAGACCTCCCTAAATGCCAAAAACTCCACATGATACGAACTGGAGATGTAAGAAAATCACTGGACAAAACCTCCCATAAATTCACCATTGTTATCACGAAAAACCACCCTTGTGTCCCCTATTTTGTTTGAGCCATGGAGAGCCCCATCAACATTAACTTTCAGCCATGACGAAGGGGGAGGAGACAAGGAAGACGGGAACGACAGCGATATAGATGTAGGGACTCGTTGAACCGCACAAAAAAAAAAAAAAAAAAACCTTCAACCATAAAGAACAATGTTACGTAAAACTTTTGTGAGTTGTGTATGATGTCCAAAATTGACGTAATAATGAAAGTTTATTTATTTAGGGTTGTTTCATTGGTAGTCTACATATTGTCCTACCAGAAGGAAATGTTTAAGTATGTAGGAAGAAAAATAAAAAATCTGGAAGGAAATGTTCATGTCGTCTTCAATCTTTGTGTGTTGATTTATCAGTACGCTGGTATGGCACAATATTGAATAGAAAATGACACAAAGGCATATTAGGAGATGGAATTTTGAAGAAATTTTTCATTGTATCCGGAATATAAGATGGTACATCATGTGTTACTTTACAAGTTGTGATATATTTGTGTTAAAAAATTAACTTTAAAAAGTAAAGTTTTCCTTCACTTATATAATAACATGAGGTGCACCACATGTATTCAGAAGGAAATAAAAACTTCTTTGGTTAAATTGTGCCAAAAAATCCAGCAACCATATATACCCAATATGATCCTCTCCAGATCTTTTTGATAAAGATCTTGAAGATTCATAAATCGTGTTTATTCATTGTACATCATGCAGTTAGTTTTTGTCAAATACTTTTTAAGTTTAATTTTAAATAAAAATATTTAAAATAATTTCTAACCGTATAATTTACAATAAATGGATATAATTCACGAATCTTCGTATCCTTAGGAAGAAGATGCGGCGAAAATCCGGATTCCATATATCTCTACTTGCCGACTCCCTCTCCATGCGGGTGGGGTATATTAAGTCAAAGTCAATATCAAACGAAACGACGTCGTTGCGACGTTGTGAGGATCTACTTCATAAACCCTACTTTGCCGGTCCTTCCCCAAACCCCTTTGCGTCTGTCAGTGCGTGTGAAAGAAGACCCATGGAGGAAGGCGGAGGACAAGCAGGTACAGCAAAACCAAACCCCAAAGTATGCGAAGAGTGCAGAGAGAAAGCATCCAAGTACAAATGTCCAGGCTGCTCCGTACGCTCCTGCAGCCTTCCGTGCGTCAAAGTTCACAAGCTTCGCACTGGCTGTACGGGCAAGAGGCCCCAAACCAGCTTCGTCCCCCTCTCTCAGATCGACGACAATCAGCTCCTTTCAGGTACCTACTTTTTCTAATTTGTTCCCATCTTTGATATTTTTGGAATTTAAGTTCGACCCCCTTTTAAGTTTTTTTTTATTAGATTTTCCAATTGTTTCTATCTGTGGGGAATGCATTTGGTTAAGCAAATTTGACTTCTTTTTGGTAAATTTCAGTGCTTTTTCTTTCACTGTGAATGTTTTCATGGGCATAGTGCAGTTTTTTCGTGGTAGTTTTGCCAATTTTTTTGCATAATCTTTTGACTTTTGAGTACCTCGTTTGGGGGTTTTGAAGAAGATAAATAACTTATAGGATATAAATTCATATTTTTTTCTTTTCTGGATCGGGTTTGATGTCCGTTTGCGTATTTAACATGGGTTTTAGATTGCATTGTGAAAGTTGCTGATTGTACTCGCGTATTTTAACCATTGTATTTGTATTGACAATTCTGTTTTTAGATTACAATTTGCTTGAGGAAGTGAAGAGGGTTGCTGAGTCTGCTCAGAGATTGAGAAATAAGTTGTGCAGATATAATAATTTTAGGCTACCCTTTTACCTTAAAAGCCTTCGGAGTGCTGCTGCCAGTCGCAGGACAAAACTCTTATTTCTACCAAGTGGAATGTCAAAAAGGGAGAAAAATCAAACTCGATATGATCAAAGGTAAGATTTATCAAAGCTTTGGGCGACGGTTATTGCTTGGTCCTGTATATAATTTGAGATACGCTCTTATAATGAAGATGATAGTGAGTGGTCCAACATGTTTGTGGAGGATTTGAATCAGTCATTAAGTTTCTTATATATTTGTTTCTGTTGGGCTGATCTCCTTCAGGAAGAAATGCATCTCCTGGACAATTGAATGGCGATTTCATTCAACGGATGTTGTTTTAATTGACCATGAGTAAGCTGCTACGCTTTTTGAGAAGTCTAGTAATGTTTAATTTCTTAGTCTAGGCTTGGGTCATGTGTTTTGATAACTGATGCGTACTGATGCTCGTGCAGAGTAAATGAAAACATGAACCTATGCTCTGTTATGGAGAACCATCTAAAACCTGGGCCATGGAATCATCACCTAAAGCTATTCTGTGAGGAACAGCTTGACTCTCTCAAGCTTTTTGTTCGTAAATATCCGAAGGTTTGTAATTTTGTTTCTTAGTCTAGGCCTTAATATATATATATTTTTCCTTTTAAATTAGAAAAAAAAAGGAAAATATTTCTTAAGGTGCACGAATCTTTGAAGAATCATGAAAATGAAAAGAATAATTGGAATTTTTATGGTAAACCAGATGTGGAAGCAGCTTTTGTGAAATCAAGAAGATAGTGAGAGTAGAAAATATGGAAATGGTGACAAGGAAAGTGAAAGAAAACGTTATCGATAGAAAAGAAAAGCCTTAAAGAAGATAAAAGATAGTTTGAACTTTGAAGAAAAAGCTATCGATTATGTTCTTTGTACCTTTCATTGTGTTAGATGGATTGAGCATCACTTTTGCTGATGTTACTTCATTTTCTTACCACCTCTTAGTCTTCTGGGCTTACCTATGCTTTTTCCACCTGCTATGGGTGCTGAAGTTGCAACCTACAACTAGCTTGGTTTTTCTGAGCACACTTTTCTTGCAGTAAATGTAAATATCACAGAAGCGTGTACACACACACAGAATTTGTACATGGTATGGCGAAAAGTTTTGTTCATTGGGTCAAATTAGAATTCACTTTTAATCCTATTGTACCTGCTTTGGTGGTATTTTGATTATTTCTCTCAGAAATATAAAACTACTGCCTCATAATTGTTTCTGATTTTATCTTTTGGATGTTATTACAGGGGGCTAGGTCACCTTTCTGTGAGTTGGATATAAGAGTTCCGATAAGGCAGCAGTTAGCAAACTTAGTTATTTTGGAATACCCTGTCATTTATGTTTTTCTCCCTTCGCACAGTCTTGATTTTGAAGTAGTTAAAAATTCCCCTCCTACTTTCGGCAAACCACAGCTTAAGATTTATGGAAGAAATGATTTAAGCGCAGGAGGTGTTCCCTTTAAGGAGGAGGAAATAGAAGAAGACAATAGCTATCCTAAGGTCTTTGATCTCATGAAACATGTGACTTCAAGTTCCCCACCTGTTATCTCTAATAAAAGGAGGTGCGAGAAACCACTCGATGATTCATTTGCTAGGCCTTTGTCTGTAACTGTGGAAACTGGCAACGATTCACATTCCAGCTCCGATGCTAAGAAGCAAGTGTTTTTTGAAGACATGGACTTTGATTTTGATCAAGGCTTAATAGATGAGTACTCAGATCTTATGGCAGAAATTAATCCTGATGATTTTCTTGATTTGGAAGGCGAATTTACCAAGGAAGGAGTAGCAGAAAGAAATCTTTCGAGTGTCAGGAAGTTCTTATTAGCAGATGACGACGTAGAGGAGGGAGAAATTTTAGAATAATTGGACTTCATAGGATTCCCCAAAAAAGGAATTAGAAGAGGGAACTTTCAGAGGAGCACCACTAAGAGTTCTGCTGCTGACTGCATTTTAGTTTCTGGGTGATATCCAACTCTGCGGTTCTAGTTATTCTTTGTCTTAAGTAGCTAGTAACAACTGGCTAGAGCCGTTTGATTGCTTGATTTGAGATCTTAAGAGGTTTTCGTGTGTACCTAGTTTTTTTCCATCTACCGCATGCCAAGTCGTTACTCTGGGGATGCTTTACTGGCAATACAATTACAATCACGGTCCAAATAGGACTGGGGTCCAGTTTCTTCAGCTTGGCGCAATTAAGAAGTTGGATATCCTTGCACCGGTTTATTCATACAAATCCAATGCGCCTGGCAATTTGTCAGTATGGCTCCGATATACACTGATTTGAGGACATTTGTTGCAATGTCCTTTCTTTCCCCAATTTACTTGGAGCAAAAGCTATTGTAAAATTATATTTTTTTGACAAAATATTATTGCCTTGTAGTAGTAGTAGTAGTAGTGCTAGTACTGGATGGACTTCAGTTTGGCGTTGGCCTGTCATATCGTCGCTAATGCTGCCACACACCGAATTTTGTCCCCAACGATTGAATAAGTTTGTGAGGGGAATTATAAATTTATGAGTTTGCACAAGAGAAAATGGTTTCCAATTTTCCTAGGGGCTTCATCGGGACTCTATCATCTGCTTATCAGGTGGCAACGGCATACCCAATTAATGGTATCGAAAAATAGAATTCTAGCTAGGTAGTAATCCACCAAGTATCCAAGTTATGGATACAGGACGACTAACTCTTAACAAATTAATAGAAATATATAATTTGAGTTTTCATGCTTTTGGAGCAACTAAGTTATTCTCGTAGCTACCCATCTGTGATGATTTCCCAAGTTCAAGATCGACTGCCAAAATTTTCTAAAGAGCAATCAGTAATGGTTAAAGGATCTTTCGATTTCATCAACTTACCATCATTAAGCTCGTCCACTCCTGCACGAGGATACAAGGTCTAGTTAATCTATCAAAATGGACACAACAATGTTTGAGAGACCAAATTTCTAAACCAAATGGCGTGAATGTTGATGATTGAATTATTACTCAATGATCATAAATGACTTAGTGATTTCCGGTTTTAAGTTTGCCAAACAAGATGCTAAGTAAATCATATGAGTGACTATTTTTTTAATAATTAGTATATACTCTTAAGTTCTTTAACACTGTCAATGGAGTTTAACTGTTGAAGTTATAACAAATTCAACCCATGTTTCGATGAGGGATCTTCGAAGGCACGGAGGAATTTTAGACTCAAAAGGTAGAAATGCACCACAAAGCACTACAAACCTCATGACTTAAATCTTGATTGATTGAAGATTTATTTTATAATTGTACCCTTGTTGGTGTTAAGGGCGGGGGACGCTCTCTGGATCCCTTATTCCTAATCTACCAAGTTTAAGGATCCAGACTATTGAAATTTGATTCAATGGCTACAAATAGAAGCTCATTTTAAAAGTTATAATAACTTTACCCGTTTGATCAAATTTTAAATGTCTGGATCTTCGAATTTTGTGGATTAGGTGGAGGACAAGGATTGTCTGCCCTCCACTTCCGGTGCCCTTTCTTTGCTCTCCTGTTTTGTGTGATCACGGTTAAGCTACGTTAACATTTTATATTTTTTTTTATAAAGATAATAAAACAAAAATAAATAGTAATATAAAATATTAACGTAATTTAACCATGATCACACAAACATAAGAGCATAGAAGGACATCGGAAATGAAAGAGCAGACAATACTTGTCTTTAGGTGGAAGGAATCCTTTTGGATCCCTTTCCCTTGACAGGTGAAAGCTTTGAAGATAAATAGATAAAAAATTTGGGTTAAATTATGCTGCAATTTTCTTTTGTCTATTTTTGACAAGTTGTTTGTAGCTCTCTAGAGCATTCATGCATTCCAAGTCACCGGTCCTTATTTTATTTTTTTAAAGAAAATCGGAGTATTGTTGTATGAATTTTAGACCAATTGGAGTATGCATCCATGAATTAAAATTTCATGAGTGTTAGGCTCTTAACTTGTCACAATGTGAAACAACATTTCTTTGTGTAACTTTTAAATTTTTTATCTCTTATTTTCCTCTTTGAATCTTTATTTTGAATGGAAATTCTAATCTAGAATTACTTGAAAAGGATCAATGCTCCATAAGGTAACACATTTAGGAACCAATACTAACGATACTAGGGTGCGTTTATTTAGGCTCGTTAATCCTTCCTAGACTGGAGTACACATTAGTGTAGTCCTGTTTGTTACTTACATGGACTATCTCCTTCACTAGGACGTCTTAGCGAGACCCCGAATACCATGGGATTGCTAAGACCTCGTCTGCTCGGTTCGCCAACATCGCCTACACCCGCCAACCCAGAACCGCGGAGAACCTAGAATCCAGAATCAAGTCATCTCGTTTTGAATCGTGGAGAACCCAGAATCGCCAAACCTTCGTCTGCTCGTTTCGAATCGCAGAGAACCCAAAGCCCAGAACCCAGAATCACCAACTCTTCGTCCGTTCGTTTTGAATCGCGGAGAACCCAGAGTCTCCAACTCTTCTTCTGCTCGTTTTGAATCTCGAAGAACCCATAATCAAGTCGCGCTCTCTCTCTGCTCTTGCCGTCGTCCGTTCACCTCCGAGCTCGCCTGGGCCCTCGCCGGTAGACAAAGACAGAGAACTTGGCAGGCGGACAACCATGGCCGATGCCCACTTCCATCTGCAACCACAGCTTCATCTTAGTCTTCTGCACATCTGCACAAACTCGATGGAATAAAAAAAAAAAAAACCCAGATTCGGTGGAAGTGCAAAACCAATCTTTGAATTGTGAAACCCGGATTCGAATAGCTAATTGCAAATGTTCTGAAAAAAAAACCTATTTTCAATAGAGGGAGAGAGCTTTATAGGCGACGGCCATGGCGAATGGAGTTTTCTGAGATAGAGGGATTTTTATTCAGGGATTTTGGGTTCTGCAAAACCAATCTCACAGAACTTGGCAAATGGTAGGTTTGAGTTTGGTTCTCTCTTTCAGCTAAAAAGTTGTTTGTTCTAGAGAGATGGAGATGTGGAATTGGGCGGAGTAAAGGATAACGGCTTTAGACAGAGGAAGTGGAAGATGATTCTAGAAAACAGAAAATGATAACTAATAATAAATATTAGTAGATTATATTAAATAATAACTAGCATATAGGCACACATAAAATACGTGAGAAAATTATTGATAGAGAGAATGTGGGAGGGTAAAGGTTTTTATTTTTTATTTTTAGATATGTTAGGATTATATGTGGATGAGGTTTTGAAAAAAAAAAAAATTTGGTTGTATGAAATTATATTTATGCTTCATATTTCTTATTCATGTTCTGTTTTAAATAGGGGCTTAAACTGGTAATTTCATAAAGTTTTGGTTGACAATGAGTATTTTATTAATTAATAATAAAGATAAAATATTATAAATATAGATTAAATAATAGAGAGATTATATTTACACATCCCAAATTACTTCTCCCACACCTTTTTAAAAAATTTAATATTTTCTATACAACACTAACTCTTGATAGAAAAATATTAAAAAAAATTAAAAGGTGTGAGAAAAGTAATTTGGAATGTGTAAATATAATCTTCCTAAATAATGTAATATTAGAACATTTCTTTTTAGTCTGACACTACACTAAACACTTCACTAAATCAGTCTTAACTTAGTTTATTCTAAGCTAATCCAACCTAGTCGCTAAAATTAATCCAATCCGAAATAGATCGATGTAACAAACGCACCCTTAAAAATAAAAGTTTTCATTCAACTAAAATTCATAGATCAATCCTCCGAATTTCTTGCGTTCATGGTGAATATTGTTTGAGTGTCAATGTGTCATACAGTGTCCCGATAATGAAAATCTTGAGCCTCCTTTCCTATTCGTTGTGATGGTAATTAAGATGCCTAAAAGATCCATGGATCGGATACGATTGGTTGAGAGGTGAGAAGATATCCCCAAGGCTCAGCCAAATAGATGGTTCAGGTTTAGCATGTTTGCAATGGTATTTATTGGGCTATATGTAAACGCATCTTTATAACGAGGACTAATCAGTCATTGCAGTCTGTAAAAGTACGGTCCAAGTGAGGAATTTGTCTTTTCATTGTACGTAACCCAGCCAATAATATGAGTCGTCCGCTTCAGTGACAATTTTAATTACTTTGAACTTTTTAATAAGGACAAGAGTTGTTTGCCCTTTTAGTTTTGATGCTTTTATGTGCTTTCTTATTTGTGTAATTACGGTTAAATCACGTTAATATTTTATATTACTATTTATTTTGTCTTATTATTTTTATAAAAAATAATATAAAATATTAACGTAGGTTAACCGTGATCACATAAAACAGAAAAGCACGGAAGAGCATCAAAACTAAAAGGCAGACAATTCTTATCCTTTGAATAACATGAGAAACATGCACGGCATTTTATAATGTAGGAGTGTGACCTGTCAGTAGCTATCTTGGACTTTCTGGAAAATGATCATTTCCGGATCATTTCAATCAAATCCTTTCACTCCATTAATTGAATTCATATAATTTGATTAAAGGATTAAAATTATTATAATTTTAAAAAGTACAGGATTTGAGATGATTCTTTCCGGACTCTCTCTATATAGTATATGATAAGACTTGAGAGGTTGAAGGTAGTATTCCAAAATGTTCAATGTACTTGAGCGGCAGAAGAGAACCAGTTGTAGAAACATGTTGGGTGGTAACGGAGGACGTCTTCTTTTTTGCTTCATCCTCGTACTTTTTGCTTTGTTAGCAAGTGCTGCTGTGGAAGTTGAACCGAGTCATTATTCGATGCCATTTAATCGAACTAGCTTCCCACCTGGGTTCATCTTTGGAGCTGGTTTAGCTGCTTATCAGGTGAGAACATTTACTTTCAGACATATTGAGAGCAAAGCTAGCACTACATGTAATTATATATATATGATCTCTTTTAAATATTTTCTCCCATGCATAGTCTGAAGGAGCAGCTCTTGTTCATGGAAAGGGACCAAGTATATGGGATACCTTCACTAGGGAACATCCAGGTCTCTGTCTCTCTTTCTCTCTCCCTCTCTCGTAATTGGAAGTAGAAAGGGTGTTAATACTCGGAGCTTAATTCATATCATACATGCTTGGCAGTTTGTTAAGTAAACGACGAAAGGGCTATATGTATTTTATAACATATGAGGGGTAAACGGGAACTGGATCCAAAGAAATTGAGCTCAATGATCAAATGATCCACATCATTAAAATCTGATCCAACAGTTACAATTATTATAATTTTTAGAGGGTCTTCTGCTTGTAGTTGTTGGATCAAATTTTAATGATCTTGATCATTTGATGAGTGAACTCAATTCCTTTGAGTTTGGATGAGATCCGGTATCAAATAAACATGTACTTTTAACATTATTTAGTGGATTTTTATCGCAAATGATAAAAAATCAATGTCTTAATTATAAGAGAGAATTTTTCATGGCAGAAAAAATTTCGGATGGTGGCAATGGGAACGTAGCCAATGATTTTTACGATCACTACAAGGTTTGCTCCATCACTCGTATATATTATATATTATATATGTTTGACTGTTAGTTATTCATCACTCGTATGTATTATATATGTTTGACTGTTAGTCTCAGTTAGTTTTACTTCACCTACTTGAAAAAGAAATTAATTATGTTTGGATTAATTGAATGCTATATCGTCACACGCAGGAGGACATAAAATTGATAAAAAAGATCGGCTTGGACTCCTTCAGATTTTCTGTCTCATGGTCAAGAATACCACCTAGTAAGATTATAGATGCATCTATGAATTTCCATTATACTGCTCAAAATTTGACTAAATTATAAACTACATTGAAAAAGTTATGAAACTATGCATATTAATTACAGTGAAACAGAGAAGATTAAGATTAAGATTTAGAAAGGAATGAGACCTTGTATTGATATTGATGAGTTGAACAGACTGTAGAAAATGAGAAGGAGAGCTTACAATTTATACTTACAAAACAGTGAACAACAAAGTTCTTAAGCCTACAAATTAAACTAACTGTATAATCTTCTACCATACTCTTCTAATAATTTTCATCAGCTAAACCAATCTCCGTCTTTCAATCAAAATCCATTCTCCACCACATATTTTGATACTATGAAAGAGTATTGGTCATTCTTTTGAAAATAGAAAGTGCTGGTAAACATCGCAGCCAGTTCCCAATTATTCTACAATATATTTTTTTGTACTGAGAGTCGTAATTGGATAATGAATTTAAGTAAACTAGGTTCAAGGTTCGATTTAACTTAACAACTGTAGTTTTTTTTTTTTTTGTCACAGAGGGTACAATTAAAGGTGGAGTGAACCAAGAAGGAGTCAACTTCTACAACAATCTGTTAGAAGAGCTCTTATCCAATGGTATATATCCACTATTCTTCTTCAAAATTAATGCCTCCCTTTTATTTGTTCATTGATTCAGTGCGATAAATCAGTCCTCCCAAGATCTTTGGCTTATCCCTGCAATCTCATGTAAACAGGAATTGTGCCTTTTGTGACCCTATTCCATTGGGATACACCACAAGCACTTGAAGATGAGTACGGTGGATTTTTAAGCCCTAAGATTGTGTAAGTATATTGAACTGAAGGATACAAATAATTAACCAAGTTTTAATCCACCCTGATGATAAAGTTGTAAATGAGAATATGGATCATTTGATCATTAACAGGAATGATTTTCAAGATTATGCCAATTTTTGTTTCAAAACATTTGGGGATCGTGTTCAGCATTGGGTGACATTGAACGAGCCAATTACATACTGTGTTAATGGATACAATGGCGGTACTTATGCACCCGGTCGATGTTCAAACTATGTCGGAAATTGCACTGCTGGTAACTCTGCCACTGAGCCTTACATTGTTGGTCATCATCTACTACTTGCTCATGCACACGCTGTGAAGATATACAGGCAAAAGTATCAGGTTGGCTCCCATCACGTTTTCATTTGTTTTAAAAAAGTGCATGGCTACATTATTTCACGGCTATTTCAAATGAAATATTCCAGAGTATTTATTTAAAAAGGGTCCGTCTCCGGTACCTTAATAAAGTATTCGGTACCATTTAATTTGAACATTCTACTATAATGCAATAACGTCCAACTATAATGTACTATCTTAGGTTCTTAACAATGTAATCTAACATTCACACCATAAAGTGCAACATTAGTATAGTAATACCAACGTCATTTGGTGTAATTAAATATAACGTGAAGATAATTACGTAACCTAACTTGAAGTGTAAATTTGAAGTAACCTAACGTACACCGTAAAGGGAAACCTTGGTATAATAATACCAACGTCATTTTGTCTAATTAAATATAATGTTAAGATAAATTATGTAATCTTGGAATGTAAATTCAAACAATCATGGTGTATCCTGACCTTAATTGTAGGTTGACATCATGTTGTAAATCTTGTGTAAGTTCATAACATTAATCTCTAGTAATAATATATGTCTATATTGTAATAGTACATCATTGGTATAATAATAAACGTTAATTTCGTAATTCAACCACGATGAAGTACAAAAACCTACCTTGACAACGTAATAAAATGTCCACAATGTATGCAACCTTATTATAGTAATAATCACGTCATTCTTTGTCATCAACTTAGACCAATGGCGTAGCCAGAATTTTTAAATAATAGAGTCATAATATCGATCAAAAAGGTACATTGGGCATTTCATTGAGCACCTAGTAGACACATGTTAATTCCTGTCAACATATGTTGAAAGTTTATGCCAACATATGTCGACAACTACAATTACTTGTAGAGACTTGTTGATGGTGGATGCAGGACACTGGGAAGTAGTAATGTTGAAGACTGTCAAGCATTTTCAACTAAAGTATTTCATACAAGAAGAGATAAAAGGAAGACAAATATGATAGAAGAAAATGGAAGAAGTAGGAAAAAGAGGTTGTAATTTAGTTTGCCCTAACTGTTTATAAGGGTCAAATATAATATACAAACAAATATATATGGAGTTTTTAAATAAGGAACTGTAATCAAAAGGGTTTATCAAAATTTTTAATTAACCAAAAACCATCTACTAACTTTATTTAATAAAAATAGCTTAAACTTTAATAAAAATGATTCAAATTTTAATAAAAATGACAAAAGTTTTACATAACAACAAAACAGACAAAAAAAAAAAAAAAAAAAACATATACAGACGCGTGGGAACCTGCGTCACACTCACATCACATACACACATTCTTCCCCACTTAACCGTTCAACCTCTTTCTCTTCCTCTTTCATATATTCCCATCCATTTTTTTTTTCTCATTTCACCTCACCCGTCTACATCAACTTTTTTTCTCTTTTTGTTTTTTTTTCACATCTCCCCACTCTTCTCTCTCCTTTCACCTCACTCCATAAACATTTTATTTTTATTTTATTATTTGTTTATTTGACTATTCTTTCAATTGTTTTTGAATAAATTAAGTAATAATATTACAAAATCAAAAATAAAGAAAATTTTCATTATTCAGTTTTATGAACATTAATACTGTGATTCTTTCAAAAACAGAACATTGACTACTTCTTAAACTGAACACTATTTCTTAAATTGAACATTAAGTACTTCTTAAACTGAATACTATTTCTTAAATTGAACATTGACTACTTCTTAAACCGAACACTATTTTTTTAAATGAACATTGACTACTTCTTAAACTGAACAATATTTCTTAAACTAAACACTAACTATATCTTAAACGGAACACTAATACTATCATTACTTCTTGAACTAAACACTGATTATTTCGTAAATTGAACACTGACAATTTCTTAAGTTGAACACTAGTACTACTACTATTTCGTAAACTAAACACTGACTATTTCTTAAACCGAACACAATAGACTATATATTAAACCAAGTAATTGTACTATCACTATTTCGTAAACTAAGCACTGACTATTTTTCAAACCAAACATTAGTATTATCACTGTTTCGTAAACTAATACTATCATTATTTTGTAAACTAAGCACTGACTATTTTTAAACAAAAAACTAATTATTTTGTAAATTAAACATTGAATATTTCTTAAAATCGAACACTAGCACTATCACTATTTTTTAACTATTTCCTTACAAATTATTGGGTCAGCAATATATTTTTTTTATCTCAAATTTCTCTCTTTTTAAATTTTTTTGGAGTTTGTTGATGCCAGTTTAAAGGGATTTGGTTGGCACTACCCTCACACTCTCTGCCTTACACACACACACACACGCTCTCTCTCTCTCTCTCTCTCTCTCTCTCTCTCTGAACCTTTTCCTTCCCGATGAAATATTTAAAAAGTAATTTGGATGCAGCTTTTGCACTAACGTTTTCTGTTGAAAATTATTACTTTTTTTTTTTATACGTAAACAGATTTCTCTCTCTCCTTCTCTAAAAGAAAAAAAAGCCATTGAAGCTTCACTCTCAAGTTTTCCTTTCCAATGAAATGTTTTAAAAATAATTTATTTCATCCATCCATTCCATCTCATCATTTTAAAAATAATTTATTTCATCCATCCATTCCATCTCATCATTCATTGTACTACTCCCACTACTTATTTTGCACTGCATGTAAGTCTTCTTACCAGTTATATCTGCTCACAATCACAGCAGAAACTTGATTTGATAATTGAATTGGTTGGCACGTGCTTACACACAATTGGGTTGTATTGTTTTTTATTTTTTATTTTTTTATTTCTTGTCATTATCATTAAATAAAGTTTGTATATGGTTTTTTTTATTAAAATCTAAAATTTTAAAGTCATTTTGGTTAGTTTTTCTTTTTAAATATTGAGATCAAAGACAACCAATGATCCTGCAACTAACTTAAACTTTATCTTAATTATGTAGTCTTAAAATGTAATTGTGAGCTATCATAGTGTATCTTAAATGGTACCGAACGAAAGGCGAATTTTTAGAGAAAAGAGAAAGAAAAGGGTCTGTGGCCCATTTAGTTTGATAGATAGGTGGTGTTTGTTCATTTCGTCCTCTCGTCTCTCATCCGCATCTCTTTGTTTTTCTCATAGGTCACCATTTTCACTCTTGGATATTTCTCATTTTTGTGTCTCCAATATAAACTTGGGAATGATCTTATCTAGCAAAACACTTGGCTACTTAATTATACTTCCCAAAAAATATTTTTTTTCACTTATAAGTAAGAGGTCTTAAGTTCGATTCTCGTTAAAAACGAATTTGAACCATATTATTACTAACTCATTTTGAGAATTGGCCTACTCCCTCACCTCTTAGTATAAATAATATCATTTGTTTAAAAAAAAAAATGTCCAAAGAAAAAGTATTGACACTTTAAAGTTGCTTTAAACTTGAGTTATATTTAAGGAAAACTAATGAAAATGACTTGAAAAATTTGAGTTTTAACGATAAAGACAAAATAAGGGTTAAATTAATAATACTAGAATTGACTTTTTCGTGTAAAAATATGATTTTTAGTTAAAGTGAACAGTACCGCGGGCTTTTCGTTAAAAAGAATTTGAGTTTTAACGATAAAGACAAAATAAAGGTTAAATTAATAATACTAGAATTGACTTTTTAGTGTAAAAATATGGTTTTTAGTTAAAGTGAACAGTACCGCAGACTTTTCGTTAAAACTCCCTTGTATTTATGCAGGCCTCTCAGAAAGGACAAATTGGGATTACGGTTGTGACGTTCTGGTATGTAGCAAAATCTGAAACAGCTGCAAGTAAGAGGGCGGCCTCTAAGTCTCTTGATTTTATTTTCGGCTGGTGAGCATTTAACCAACTCCAATCAAAATTAATTTAAATTAGTTAGGTAGCTAGCATAGTTGCATTTGAATTATTAAAAAAAAAAAAAAAAAAAATTTACGTAGGTTTGCTCGTCCTGTTACATTCGGTGAGTATCCCAAAACTATGAGGTCTGCGGTGGGAAATCGGTTGCCTAAATTCAGCAAAGCAGAATCAAAGCTTCTTAAAGGATCCCTGGATTTCCTTGGTGTCAATTATTACACGAGTACTTATGCAGATGCTTCCTCACTCTCCACTGTTACAACTGTTAACCAAAGTTTCTTTGGAGACATGAATACCGCTCTCTCTAGTAAGTAGTGCTAAAGCTATATCCATGCTCAACTCATATATATTAATATTAATCCATCCTCATTTACTAAATACAAAATTTGACATATATATATATTTATACACACACACACATATATATATAGATATATGTATATATACATATTTATATACAACTCAAATGTGTGCGTCTCTTCTGCTAATTTGCTCTTCTGCCATGCACATGCAGCGGAGAAAAATGGGGTTCCTTTGGGCACACCGGTACTCTCTCTCTCTCTCTCTCTCTCTCACACACACACACACACACACACAAATTTGAGCCTGCTTTGGTTTTTGCAGACTGCTTTGAGCTGGCTGTACATCTACCCAAAGGGAATTCGAGAGCTTATGCTGCATATAAAGGAAAATTACAACAACCCGGAGATTTACATTACCGAAAATGGTATTGTATACAAATTAATTATTTCGCATAATTTATGCTATATATCTTATATGAATTTGAAATGTTGAACTTTGATTTTTTGTAGGTGTTGGCGAGGCAAATAATAGCTCCCTGCCTATTAAGACTGCCCTCAAGGATAGTACCAGGATTAGATACCATTATCAACATCTTCAATATCTTTCGAAAGCCATCAAGTCAGTACAAAGGATTTACGGATATGGTGTCAACTACATTTAACTAATCAAAAAGCAAAACACACACATAATCTATACACTGCAAATCAATTCAAATTTTGATACGGAGTTGATGTTTAATTCAATACGTGTGCAGGGAGGGCGTTAAGGTGAAGGGATACTTTGCATGGGCACTTCTGGATGTGTATGAGTGGGAGTCAGGCTACACTGTTCGATTTGGGCTCACTTATATTGACTACAAAAATAAAATGAAAAGGTACCTCAAGTATTCTGCATATTGGTTTAAGATGTTCCTCCTAAAATGATTGATGGTGCATGAGTGTGGAATAAGGTTATAAGAGTACTTCAATAACTCATTACTTGAAGACCAAACTCTCTCCATCTACGTGATAGAATATTATGTTTTTTCTCTTCTTGCATCAGTAAGGTCTGGTCACATATATAGCATCGAGACCCATCAGAAACTGTATCACTTGTTCTTGAGTCGTGTATTATTTAAGAAACTGATTGCTGCTCCTGTTTATATTCAACTTTTTTCTTCTTGGTTAGGAAAACATCAGCGTTACGAGGATATTTATTGATATGTTCAATAATTGATCACACGTTGAATATCAAATATTCGTCAACTATTACCTCGTGAAAACCAGTCCTTTAGATCAGCCCAAACTTCAACTAGTGTATAGCAATACAACAAGCTCCTGATTCAGGAATTCAATAACCAAGAGGCAACCATATCGTTGTGTTGCCTTTATAGCAAATCATATATGAAGGCCCATACTTACGCTAAAATTGGTCAAGCGTGCAGGATCTTTTGACCTGTCCAGGCTCCTTGCTTACTTGATCGGAACTCAACCAGTAGATAAAGGTCGACTAGCATTTGATGATAAAGCTGCTTCTTTGTTAGGTCTAGTACAGGTTGATTTCTAGTTAGTAGTGACGTTTGGGATTCCACCCCTACTATTACCAAAAATGGAAACCAATTCAATTGGCCATATTGCACGTCTAAGGTGCCAACAAATAAGGCCCAGCTAGGCTAACATATGGAATCTCCTTTTTTCCCCGCTATCTTGTAGGAAATACTACATCTATCTAAAACATTGATCCTTGCACTTACATTATTTAATAATTTTTTATACAGTGATAGATTTACACAAATGGGTGGAGAAATATGGATTTGGATCTGCTTCGGACCTTAGAGTCCGAAGCTCAGGAATCAATTCAATCCAACGGTCCTCATTAACTTATTTTCCTGGCCCACCACACAAAACCAACAGCTCTGATTTCTTTTACACTTCAATCAGTGGCCCAAATGATTTGATCCCTAGGCTCCGGACACTAAGGTCCAAAGCGAATCCAATTCCGAGAAATATTAGTATCAAACTTGCACCGCTAGATTCTTACTTAAAATCTCTCACTTACAAGTAAAGAAAAATATTATTCGACCATAGGATTAAGGTCATCTCTAACCACGAAAGGCTAATAAAAGCTTTAGGCACAATTTTAGCCCTCAAAAATATAATTTTTTAAAGAATCCAATTTTCCAAGAAAATAACAATCTTAGAAATTCAAAACAATAGGTATGATTAAAGCCAAAACCTAGGGAAAAAAGTTGAGGGTCAATAGCATTGTCGTCCCCCAAATTCTAGAGCAAAAGTTGAGGGGCGACAACGCCACCAACCTTCAAAACTCTAAAGTCGTGGCAACCAGATGGGGTTTCAGTTTTTTAGCTTATTCATTCGTAATATAGGCAAACTACTGATCCCTCATTAAGTTTTGAATTTGCAACTTTTTATGCTTAATTAAAATTTTACATTCTAATGCACCTATGAGCTACTTTTCTTAATCCCTTTGGTGTATTATAATTATCTTTAGGAGATCAAAGTCCCTTCCATGATGAAAGAGATCAGATGAATTTTCGTGGTGTATGGGTTCAGAAGTTAGTTAGAACCAAAAGTAGTACATCAAATAATTAAAAGTTGCTACATCTTTGAGGGACAAAATTTATCATGCAATGAAAAAAGTGTCCAAGAGCCAAACAAAATGGGATGAGAAATTATAGCCACTAGAAGCGAACATGAAATAAATGAACATGGAGAGGGGGACAAGACTCACATGTAAGAAACATGGGTCGATCGATCAGCCTTTTGGCATTTGCCTTGTTTCCTCTAGCTACTCAATTCAAAGCAATCTCTGTTTGCTTTGGTTTGGTTCCTTGTTAGCACTCATTTACATCTGCATCTTATCCTCTTTAATTTGTCAAATCATTCTTCAAACACTTTGATTTTATGTTTTTTATTTTATTTTATGTAATTACATATATAAGCATGAATTAAATCCTGAACTTATACTAAATCTAACTTACCTTATCCATCTCTCGTGATCATTTAGGCTAACTTCAAGGTTTGGCACACACTTTTGTATTGATAATTTGGTACAAACAAGAACACTGTCCCCCACTTCCCCTGCCTTGTCTGCTGAATATACACTTCAAAAAGTGTAATATATATTTGATGAGCAATGAAAGATTGGGATGGAGGATAACATGGTTAGTACACAAGCTTTGCACATGTATGAAAAGTGCCATACTATTATTTTGAAATAACTTGATGCCACGTTTCATTGCAAGTTACGCTTCTGTCAAAATATATGAGAATTGATAATCACACATTCTTTTTCTCCTTGTACACAAATGTTGCTACCAAAATTATAATTTTTTTTGCTTTCTGTTTTTCTAATTAAAAGCCCGAAGGCTATCAATTATTCAAGAGGAGGCAAAAAATCACAAAGTTTCTTTTCGGGAGGTTGGGGGAAAGCCGGGAAAGGAGGCGAGTTGGTTTGCCATTTGATAGTGGTGCATATGAGGAATTTGTGGAGCCAATAATCAATACTATTGTTCCACATTCGAGATGTCTAAGAAATATTTGAAGTCGAGCTTAAAGAAATTGAGGTTTCACCATAAAATTTATTGCCAATATGAAGAATAGCATGCCACCTTATAAGCACACGAAAAGTCACTTGCCTTGATCACCTTGTGTTGAACTTGAACCTGTGGATGTCTGAGGGACAATGTTACACTGGTGTAAAATTTATGGCCAGGTGCGATCCCAATAACGGTGGGGTGGGGGAAGGGCGACCTACGACTAATGCTTGATTTGCAACTGCCATTTAAGTCAACATTATGATACCTTCGTCTCCAAGAAAGAAAATGTCATATTCGTTCAGCGATGAAATCGTATGTAAAGATTACAGTTGAATTTGTAGCGTTAATGGGTACAAATTTTTACCTTTTTTCCAATGGCAAGGTGGGGCAGATCCACTTGCCAATTTCCTTAACTACTTCTAAGAAATGTAATTTTCAAGAACTAATAATAATAATAATAATAATTATGCACATCTTCTCTACTCTTATTTTCCTTTTATTTAAAAGCCTGGTTGTTCAACTTCTCCTTCGTATATGAGCTTAACCACTCAACAACCCCCATATATGGTTAATATAATAAAATTAATTTTGTTTTAATAATTAATTAGGTGAGTACTACTCCATCAAAAAGATAATGACGATTGGATTGCTAAACATTTGAAGAGTCATTGGAAAACCTTCACATGTATATTTTTCAAATTTATGAGATTACTTTGGTTTCAATGTGCATCCGCCATTGTGGATATTAGTTAGTCGCTTAAGTTATATTATTGTTGAACCAACAAGTAGTAGCGTGTTAAATCTTTGGCAAGATGCAGGAGGAAAGCCAGAGACAAATTAAAGACAACCAGCTATTAGGAAGCGATGACTTTTGCACCTACTCTGAGTCTCAGTCTCTCACTTTCGAAACGATAATTCATATAAATTAGTTAAGCTAGGTAGGGTTGGTTGTACAGATAGTACTTTTAGTTATAACCACCCAAATGATATCTTAATTGTTTATAGAAACTAAAATGGTTAGGACATATAATTAGAGTTGTTAAGCAATGACAATTACAACTTGATTCTTATATTATTTATGATATAGGTCAAATAACCAGCACCATATGGTATAACAAAAAGAAGAAAAATTAATGATCGTATATCTAGGAGAAAAGAAATAAAAATAGTGATACAAAAATATGTTTTTGATAGATATAATATTCTTTGTTCTTTTTTTCATACAATGATATTGAAGGTGGGAGATTTGGAATGATACTGTAGTGGGGGATTTGGAACAAGCCACACAATATGACATCGCAATTAGATATCAAATTTATCATCAATAAAAAAATACTACTAAATCCTAATGCATAATTTTTTATTCCCTTGAATGGAATTATATGACGACTATTCTCTACGTCCAATCAATAAGAAGAGACCAGAACTTGTCCAGATTAAGCAGAATCAGTTTCTTTAGTATAAGATATTATTTATGCTAAAATATTGAACATGCTTGCATATCTCACAATATACAATAAACTTAAATAATGCTATGATCCTTACATTTAAACTACCATATATTATTTTAGTTCAGACATGTATTTGTCACCATCTTGCATCTTAAATTGTTCATAGTGAAGCATACATTTGGAGTTTGCACATATAGAAAAGTCTTTCTGTTTTTATCTTTGTCGAGACGGAGATGGAAAACTCTAATCAAAGTGAAAACTACTTGTTTTATATCGGTGTGTGTATGCCTATTAAACGACCACGTCGAAATCTTATTAATAAATTCTGGCAAGTATCACGAAATTGAGATAATCCTACCATAATATATAGGGTGAATTGTTAATTTAGTAATTGAATTATCATGTCACATCCTAGGCCCGAGGCGGATCACTTTCCGGGTCCTGCTTCACCACCGTAGCATGATATTGTCTGCTTTGGGCTTACCATTCTCTCACGGTTTTGTTTTTAGGAACTCACGAGCAACTTCCCAGTGGGTCACCCATCATGGGATTGCTCTAGCCCCCTTTCTCGCTTAACTTTAGAGTTCCTACGGAACCCGAAGCCAGTGAGCTCCCAAAAGGCCTCGTGCTAGGTAGAGATGAGAATATACATTTAAGGATCACTTCCTTGGGCGATGTGGGATGTCACAATCCACCCCCCTTAGGGGCCCGACGTCCTCGTCGGCACACACGCGACCAGGGTTAGACTCTGATACCAAATTGTCACATCCCGGCCCGGGAGGACCACTTCCCGGGCCCGCTCCACCACCGTAGCACGATATTGTTCGCTTTGGGCTTACCATTCCCTCACGGTTTTATTTTTGGGAACTCACGAGCAACTTCCCAATAGGTCACCCATCATGGGATTGCTCTAGCCCCCTTCTCACTTAACTTCGGAGTTCCTACGGAACCCGAAGCCAGTGAGCTCCCAAAAGGCCTCGTGTTTACTAAGGATGGAAATATACATTTAAGGATCACTCCTCTAGGCGATGTGGGATGTCACAATCCACCCCCCTTAGGGGCCCGACGCCCTCGTCGGCACACCACGACCAGGGTTAGGCTCTGATACCAAATGTCACATCCTGGCCCCGGCGGGACCACTTCCCGGGCCCACTCCACC